CAACGGGTGTTCTTGGAGTCTTTATCGAAAATCAGTTGGCTGTAGACACATTAATTTCTGGGTTCTCTATTCTGTTCCACTGGTCTATGTGTCTGTTTTTATGCCAGTACCACACTTTTTTTGTTGCTACAGGTTTGTAGTATATTTTTAAGTCTGGTAGTGTGTTACCTCCAACAAAATAATTTTTAATAACATACATCTCAGGATTTTTATAAAGGAAATTAAGATCAAAATGTAAGAACAATACAGTGATTTCTGTTCTTAAAATTTAAAGAACAGAAATTTAAATTCTAATCACTTATCTTTTTAAAATTAGCATATCCTGCTCCTAACTTTTCATAAAAAGTGTATCTATAGGGAAAATTAACATGTTTTATGGACTTACAGGGTATAAATTTCCACAGGGGAAGAAGCTACATGCCATGTTTCCAGGCACCTATAATTCACCAACAGACTAATTAGGGGATCTAAATGCTCATCTAAAGCATAAAACCCATAAAAAACAAATATAAATATATTTTAAATCTACCCTTTATCTAGAGAAGGCAAATTTTGAAATGTACTACGAATGAAAAGTAATTAAATACAGTTCTCTTACTTATGAAAGGGAGCTAACACTAGAACCTACTTCACAGGATTATTGCGAGTAATAAGTAAGATTATGCATTTAAGTGTTTTTCAGAGTACCTGGCAAAGAGTAGCAAACAATAAATGTCCACTTTATTTTTATTTTATACTATAAAGTAGTGAGACTTAATCCCTAAGCCTTAATTTGAATTCTGACTCTAAGACACAGCCACTTCTAATTTCACTTTGGTTAAATGGGATGTTTTACAAAAGTTTACACTCCAGTAAAACAGTTAATGTTTTAAACTGTACCTTCTCTCCTACAACGATTTCTTACTAACTTTTGGGATTTCTTCAAAGCTCAAATACTGTCCTCCTACATAACAACAGAGGTAATAATTTTCTACCACTCAGATATCATCTTACCAGAATGTTTATTCTTTGCTTTCTAGCAAATTCTTAACCATGAGCTATGTTAACTGTTGCCCTGTAGTCTGACTTTTTAAAATGAATTTCTGTCTGGTATCCCCATTGTATTTCTAAGTCCTTTGAGGTCACAGAACCACATATTATGTACATCTTTATTTTCCCACGATATCCTCGTAGTAAGGCAGTCAATAAATAGGATGTGGTTACATGCACAACTTCATCTCAAAGCTTAAAAATGGGGAAGGTGCATTGAGTGCAATTCAATGAAATTATTTATAATTTCTAAAACATAAACTTTGGCAAAAGAAAATACAAAAGGCAATTTCTTTAAGACTTGTGAATAAACATATATCCCATTTGTAGTTCACTGCAGAATATCTAAAATAATAACAGAAGACACTACTGAGGGAATATATCAATGTAGTTAGCTCTGGGCATCATAAAAGTTACAACAGAATCTAACATAGAATTTTTAGGCTGGGCATGGTAGCTCATGCCTGTAATCTTAGCCCTTTGGGAGGCTAAGGTGGGAGGATCGCTTTAGTCCAGGAATTCAAAACCAGCCTGGCAACATGGTGAGATCCCGTCTCTACAAAAAATATAAAAATTAGCCAGAAGTGGTAGCACATACCTATAGTCCCAAATATTTGGGAGGCTTAAGCCCAGGACGTTGAGGTTGCAGTGAGTCGAAATGGAACCACTGCACTCCAGCCTGGGCGCAGAATGGGACCCTGCTTCAAAAATAAATAAATAAATAAAATAAAAGAGAATGTTTTAAAATAGCAATTTCTATAATTAGCAATTTCTAATAGCAATCTTACTCGTGATTTCTGTGGCGATAATTACTGAAGGGGAAAAGCATGAATGAAAAATCTACCTGGTAGTTTCTTTTTAGGCATATTAGGGAAATACATATAAACTTAAGTTCATATAGTACTCCAGGTGGAGGAAGCTGTTTTAAAAAATCAGTAGGCACTGGGTATCAGATAGCCCATGAAAAGAGAACCAACAAAACGTAACAAGCAAAAGCTCTACATCAGCAAAACATCAAGTTTGAAAACTCCACACACATCAACCAGTCAGGAAGTTGTGAGATAAGGTTGTGTGTACTGCTTACTCTTGAAGGGTCTCCACTTACATCCCTCAAAGTTGGTTTTATCTCTGCCTCTTGTACAGGGACACTATGAAAGAACCTTTCATTATGTGATCAGAGCGAAGGAGGAAAGTCAGACATGCCTCTGAGTGAACACATTTTCCTCCTGGAGAAACTGGTGAGAGCACACTGCTTCACATGAAGTGCTCTAGGGAATCAACTATTTGAGAAAAAGTTCAGTAGCAAATCATCTTACTGTCCTGAGGCTTATGAAAATTTACCTGGATATGGGAAATACAGAAAATTAAATTTAAAGAAAAATTAAATGAGCAGCTCAAAACAAAGGCAGCAGTGTGCCATGTCAGAACACAGGCTGGCAAGGAGAAGAACCGGGTTCCTGTCCCAGAGCTGCCACAAACTAGCTTTGCAATCTTGGGCAAACCAGGTGACATCCAGGGTTCAGCTTCCTCTTGTCCAAGAAAGCTCGATAATATCATCTCTATGATCTTTCTAGCTCTAATGGTTTGTGAATACAACACTGAAAACTCAGAATTATAAACAAGCCCCATTTCTTCTCCCCACACAGCAACAAAAAACCCCAAACTGTAATCTCCCTACCTGTTATAAACTATATTCCTATATGGGGGATTTAAGAGGCCACCCGTTTAAACAAGGAGCTGTAAAAAGAGGATGATCTTAAAGGGACTGTCATCTACATTCAAGTCATCAAATTTCAAAATAGAATAGAATTGTATTTTAGACTGTACGGAATGGCTTTCTTCATCCATTGAGAGAAAAGTAGATCACAGTTATTACTTTGAAGAATAAGAAATGTAAGTTCCACATTCTCCCCTGTAGCTAGGGTTGCATTCTGCCTGCAAGTCACTTCACTGCCTCCGTGTATTCAGGTCTGTGGCAGTCACATTCACCTAAGATCCGACTCTTAAACTCATAGTTTTGCCACTAGGCACAGCATATCTAGCTTTGCCAGGGCAACTATGCCCTTGGAAGGGTATACTTCAGGTGTGGCGCAGCCATTCCAATGTAAATGATGTTCTTCTCTGTCATTTGTATTTTTAACTCTTAAAGGTTTTAAACACACGTGAGTATATTTAATTATTATTAATTTAAAGGAAGTTCATGGGGCAAAATGTTATGTTTAAAAGCAGAAATCCTCCAGTAATGTAAATAACACTAATTTCTTGATGACTTTGGATTTTTATTGACTCCTAAACTGAGACATTTCTTTAGTTAAAGTCAGCAATATGAAGAATCAAGTTTTTCACAGAGGGTGGGGTTTCACTGTTAGAATACTGCTATTACATATAAATTTCATCGCTCATTCAGTCATCAGTTTCTTCTCACACCTATGTATGTGAAGTTACCATGTGAATGGCAACATGGAAAAATGACTGGACCTCATTAGAATGGAAACTAATGTTTTACAGAAAAACAGTCAGGACCTTATTTTGTATTCAAGCAGTCACTGGAAGAATTCTTTGGTTTATAAGAACCTGTCTTTCTGTGATAATTATTGTTTTGGTTTGTTTTTCTTTTACAAACATCTCTTTTATGTTACATTAATTCCCAATTTTATCACAGTTGTCACACATAAATTAAATACGTAAGATTTGGGTGCTATGTAAAAGGTGTCAAGGCAAAACAACGTTCATAGGAAGCTTTCAGGTCTTTCTCAGTTACAGTAAAAGCAAAATACATTTCCCTTAATTTGTTTTTTAAACACTACCCAACAAACTCAAAAAACTAAATGTTTTAACTTGTCCTTGGAAAGAGAAGTTGGGAAATCAAAGGCCTCTAGCACATGTTTACTTCCTAGCAAGACAGTGAACATCAGTGAAGTAATCATTAATCATAGCTGGATTCCTCAGCAAAGATGTTGGCATTGGCACTATAGCCAGTCACCAGCAATGACTGCAAGTAACTCTAGGACACTAACGCCTATTTGATTTGGAAAAGAATAAGGAACATAATGATGCCTGAAGTGTCTTGTGAGCTTTTGCCTTTCTTCATCTCAGGGCCTTGCAACGTCACAAGCCCAGCTGTTAACCAGATGCATGCAACATAAGCCACAGAGTGTGAGAAAAAAAAGCGTTAGCATTATTTCCATGGAACTAGTCCTGTGGTTATTATAGAAATAATCAGCATTAGCATACTACAATATTTGTTTTGTTCTTGAATTGTAACACCCTAGGGACAAAGTTGTCTTTATTTTTAAAAAGTTAAAAATGAAAGTACATGTTATGTATCTTTGCTGAAAAATGGTGGGAAATGGATTTGTCAAAACCATATGGAAAGGAAGAGGGAATCAATTAAAAACAGAAATCTAATAAATCTAAAATATTTCCAAATGAAATGCTTGTGGTAAGCTAATTTCTTGTAAACACAGAACTCAAGTCACTTGAACAGTCCCAGATGGTGAACTAACTTTGTGGTCTTAAAACAAAAGTCAGCCAAAAAAACCAAGACTACAACTTTACTATCAATGCAGTGGGGAACATGAGATCCATAATCAACCAACATGTTACTTTTTTTTCTTTCCAAAATTTAAAGAGATTTGCAGAGTTTTACTAAACACACAATTTTAAGCTAAAGTTTAAGTCTGTGTATGTAAAATGGAGAAATAAAAATTAGAGATAATACTACAGTTAAAAGTGAGGTAAAATCTACAGTTATTTATACACCTTAGAAAAATATTTCCAAAAATGCCACAGTTTTGAAATGTATTATAAAGTCTAACATTCTAAATTACCATGAACTTTCTTCAGTTGACATCTGTATGATTTTATTCAAGAAAAATTTTAAACCTTTTTTAAAGTTGGGTTATAAAATAAAGTTTGTGATTTATGGGTTGACCAGAAATTATACATGGTGGAATAAACATCTGCCTTACCTGCTCCACTGTCAATAATCCATCAGAAGATTCTGGCACAGGCTGCATGGGCAGAAGCTGGCACAACGTGCCTAAAAGTAAAGCAACTTCCTTCATACTTCTCCAACAACATACCAGCACCATCTGCGCGGTTACATCACATGTTTTTACTTCTTTACCTTAAACAAAAAAAAACACAACTATTGCAACCTTGATTACTCACATCCCAGGTTTCTAAAAACAAGCTTATTCATAATTTCCCCACGAATAATCTGGTTGAACAAACCCAATTTGTCATGCTATATTTATTCAGAAGGAAAAAAGCTAACATTTGTCAAGCATGTGTTATGAGAAGAAATCATGCTAAGTTTTTTTTTTTTTTCCTTTTTGGAGACAGGATCTCACTCTGTCACCCAGGCTGGGGTGCAGTAGCATGCTCACGGCTCACTGCAGCCATGACCTCCCAGGCTCAAGCAATCCTTCCACTTCAGCCTCCTGCATACAGGTATGCGCCACCACACCCAGTTAATTTTAGCATTTTTTTGTAAAGACAGGGTTTCACCACATCACCCCCTGGACTAAAGCGATTCTCTTGCCTGGGCCTCCCAAAGTGCTGGGATTATAGACATGAGCCACTATGCCAGGTCCAGTATTTTAATTTATTATTTTCAAATTAAATTTTAAAATAAAACACAATATTGTTCCAAAACTTAAGTTTAATCTTTAATTTCCAAAGATTAAACAAACTCTGCCTCTCTATCATAAAGTATGATATGGATGTCTATAATAAATATACTCCTTATTTATTTTGGTGAGGATGTCTGTTGCATTAGTAAAGGAGCAGAGTATAACTTTTAAAATCAAAGGAAAATACAAATTATCTTTCAAAATATATTTAATTCCCGTGGCCAATAAGCTATAATTACCCTTACTTACTCTCTTATTCTAGTTTTAGGAGTATTTTGGTACTGACATTTTTTTAAAATACAAGATGAACTATTATATTAAGTAAAAGAGCACACTAGCAAAAAGGTACTTACAGGGTAATCTCATTTGTGTTTTTATTTAAAAAGCCCAATGCATTAAATGGGTAAGTGTACATACACATAAATATATAGAATAAGTATAAAATGATATATTGCACTAAAGAGGGAAGACATGGAATTGGAGAGGAAACCTAGGAGGAATTTAATTTGTTTTTAATTAATATTTACCTCTGTTGTTTGAAACTATTACAATAGGCTATAATTACATTTATATTTTATTTTGTGTAATTTAAAAATTTAAGTGTGGAGATAATTTTTTGCAAGACAATATCCCCACCTAGTGGAGAATGTAGAATATGTAATACATCACTAAGAAATTGCTGCTTCTGATGATGTTTTACAGCACTACAGAAAATTTAGTAACAACTAATGATCAAACAAGATGTAAGAACTCGAATTCTGGAGGCTTGATACAACAAAGCAGCTCCCATTTTACTAATAAGGTTTGTTTCCTTTAAAAGCCTGCTTGACTTGAAGAACTCCCACAGCAGACAATGAACCACATTGCTGGGAGAAGTTGACTGCTACCCAAACCCAGGTACATCATAGCACTGCTCTCACATCACCTGGGCTGTCAAGGCAGGTTTCACCACTCCAAGGCTTTTTGTTCTAACAGCTTGTACACTGCACAACAGCACCTAATAGTCTGGTAAAAGTCTTATAAATGCATTCCTAAACCCAAATCTTTCCCAAAACCAAATTTTTAAAAAACTTTATTTTCTAGAAATGTTCTGCACAGATTTGCAACCTCTAATTTACTATATAAAAAGGGCATTCTGTACATTTTACTTGTTAAACACGAATTACAGTATCCATTTCATACAAGTTACCTTTGATTTCTGTAGAAATATCAATATTCACCACACTGGCATTCAAGTCCTTCATATCAAAGCTATCATGTTCTTTCAATATTTTGGCTTGGTTAAAATAATCATTAGTATCTCGAGGCTGAATCTCATTCAGAATCATCTGTAAGCGGCTTGCTGACTCTGAGGGAAAGAAATTAGTGTACATGAAACCCCAGTAACACATCACATGTCAGATTTCTCTTGGGGATACTTAACCTCAAAAAATCTGTAATTTTCAATACTTAATAATCAGCTCTATTAGAAGGGACTCACAGGGTAGATAATATGAAAATTATTTATAGAGTTTTCATGATGCTTGAGTGTACTTTTAAAATATGGCAATTTAGACTGAAATGTAACAACAAAAAAACCTAACTGAAACTGTCCACAGGACAAAGGCTGCCATGTCATCTACACTGCTTTTCTTAGTGTTGTCTAAATATCTCAAATATGGTGCTAATCATGTCAAAGAAGTGCAATAAACTTCAATAAATTTAGTTTTAAGATGCTATTTCTCTATGAAGGAAAAATGAAGCAGGCAACAGAAAAGTAGAACAAAATCAGTATTTGATTTAAAATATAAATAAATAACAAAAAATAGGAGAGGTTATCTCCCTATCTATAATATAAGGTATCAAAGTTTAAAGATAGAAAGGTAAAAAGACATTTTTAAAAACCCATCAACAACAAAAACAATCTTTTATAGGACAAGAATATCATAAAGACTCCACAACTTTGAAACACATTATGTAATATGATTTAATTATGATTTACAGTCTTCATATTACATTAAGTTTCATTTTTATTCCCTAAGCACTCACTGGATTAGGAAATGTAAGCTCCATGAATGCAACACTTTGTTCATTACTGAGTGACCAGTGCCTATAACAGAAACTGGCTCATGGCAGAGGTTCAGAAACATGAGTTGAAGGAATGAATGGACGGCTAGGTAGTAAGGAGTTAGGCTCAGATTTTCAAAACTAGCCATGGGAAATCATCTGAAATCAATTAACAAATCAAAGAACCGGTATTTATTGTACATCTATTATATTTACATCTATTATTTAGGTACTATGGGAAATACAAACACTCAACTTACTATCATGATGATTCAATCAACATCTTATGTTCCTTCCTGGAACAGCCATGAAAAACTAACAACGACCCCCAAAGAAACCCCCCACAGACCAAGAAAAGATGAGAATAAATTTGTAAGAATCCCATCCATTCAATTTTACAGCTTTCAGGGGAGACTTTTCTCAAGAAATTCAGAATGTATGGCAAATAACACAGGGAAGAAGCAGCAAAAATGAAGACAACCAGAGGTAAAAAGGCAGGGAGAATGAAGGAAAAGTCTGTGGGGCAAAGACAATTTTTGAGACCAACTGATACCTTAAAACTCTTCACTAATAAAGATAATGTTAGCATTCTCTGTAGGATCTACCCACAGTAGGTAACAGAAATATTCAAGATTTCTCATCCAGAATATATGATGGGTACTTTGCTGACCCAAATATTAGCTATAAGACTCCATGTTCCTTATTCTTATGCACTGCTCAAGTAGAAAATCTAAAGCGTCAAAATTTGGTATTTAAGGCCGGCACAGTGGCTCAGTCCTGTAATCCCAATGCTTTGAGAGGCCAAGGCAGAAGGATTGCTTGAGGTCAGGAGTTCAAGAGCATCCTGCACAACAAAGGAAGATCCCATCTCTACCAAAAAAAAAATAATAATAATAAAATAATGTGGTATTTAGACTACCATCAGGCTAAATAAATGTGTCTTACTATCATGAACCATCACCAATCTTCTAACTCATTTTTAGGAAAGAACAAAGCCTAATATTCTCTATGCAAAACACGTAACTCCACATTACCTCAATTATCAGCCCAAGGTATTTCAGTGTATGATACAGTGCGTGTTTATGACACACTCAGGTTTTCTAATACAAGCCTCTCATTTCCACTCTAAAATACATTTACAAACTTTATTTCAACACAAAATATAAATATATTTCATGATTTCTCTGTGTATTAAAAGGAATACTCCATTTTAGTATAGGTTAAGTATCCCTTATCTGAAATGCTTAGGATCAAAAACGTCCCGAATTTATTTTTTTGAATATTGGAATATATGCATTGTACTTAATGGCTGAGCAGCCCTAATCTGAAAATCCAAAATCCAGATGCTCCAATAAGCATTTCTTTTGAGCATCCTATTGGTGTTCAAAAAGTTTCAAATTCTGGAGCATTTCATATCTTCAATTTTCAGATTTGGGATGCTCAAATTATATAGTATTATATAACTCAATTAACCTGGGGTAGGAGGTACCTTGCTCATCCCCTGGTTTGGGATTTTTTTTTTTTTTTTGCTACTTTTTAATAGTTAAAACTATTGCTAAAAGGCAGAAATGCCACAAATAACAATAATTCTTTTCTCCTCAATTTAGCTTTATATCTCCCCAAAGAAATACTTAGGAAAGGCCAGGCGCGGTGGCTCAAGCCTGTAATCCCAGCACTTTGGGAGGCCGAGACGGGCGGATCACTAGGTCAGGAGATCGAGACCATCCTGGCTAACCCGGTGAAACCCCGTCTCTACTAAAAAATACAAAAAAAAAACTAGCCGGGCGAGGTGGCGGGCGCCTGTAGTCCCAGCTACTCAGGAGGCTGAGACAGGAGAATGGCCCGAACCCGGGAGGCGGAGCTTGCAGTGAGCTGAGATCCGGCCACTGCACTCCAGCCCGGGCGACAGAGCGAGACTCCATCTCAAAAAAAAAAAAAAAAAAAAAAGAAATACTTAGGAAAAAAGAGGTAAAGACATAATAATCAAACCACAGCACTCTAGCCTGCCTTCTTCTTTTGCTAACCTGAATCAGTGTCCATTGGTATGAGGCCTTCAGGGGATGAGCTCTGAATGACTGGAGATACCACAGTGGAAAGCCTGTAGGACATCAAAAGGAGCTTCTCTACCACAGGTCTCCACTCGCTCACCAACTGCAGGCTGCTGCAACAAGAACATTAGGGAAATTTATACTAAAAGCAAAAATCACATTTTAAAAATGAAAATTAGATAAAAGGAGTTGAATTCGTGTTTCAAAACTGTTCAATATATAAAATATGTGAGACATAAAAATATACGCAGATATGTATGTTTTTAAATCTGATTTTCAATTATATTCAAAGCAATAGACTGCATGCCTTTCCCAGAATACATTCCAACAAGAGGTTAAAGCTCAGAAATGAATGGATTTCTGAGACAGGAAGGTAGCTATGGAAATCCTTACTTTAGAGATAACTTCTGCAAAGCTCCTGTTATACAGTGGACACGCCCATACATTGGAAATGATGCTGCTGCCTGAAGCAGAGAATTTTCAGCCTGATACACCTCCTCCTCAAGATTTTCCATCAAGCATTTGATAACTAGAAAAAGCAAACAAAATCAAAGTAATGTCAATTTTAAAACATTTGTAAATGTACGAACAGCAGAACAGTTCCCATTAATATGCCCAACTCAAATGAACTTTACACTAGAGTTTTTTTTAATCAAAAAGAGATCTTTCAAGGTTATCCAACAGGGCTGCTCATTTCTAGTTAAGGCAGAACTCAGTGTCTTTCCCTAAACTGCCTGTATCCATTACAGCATCCACTCTCAGTCCTTCCTCCTAAACATCCTCTCACTAGGATATCAAACCCGAGGCTGATGTGGCATCTGCTCACTGGACAGCAGATGGCTTTCAAATTAAAAAAGAAAAAAAAAGAACAGTTTTTTTGAAAAGTAATTCATATACCACAAAATTCATACATTTGAAGTATACAATAGTTTTTACTAGTCACATATGTACAACCATCACCATAATTAATTTTAGAACATTTTCACTGCCCTCCTGCCACCAAACCAAAAAAAAAAAGAAACTTACCTGTTAGCAGTCACTGCTCTCCTTGCACCTCTACCCTTCTCCAGCCCTAGAGGATCACATATTGCATGATTCGCCTAGTTTATTTTCTGTCTATAGATTTGCCTGCTCTGGACGGATCATATAAATGGAATCACACAATATGTCATCTTTTGGAACTGGCTTCTTTCACTTAGCAAAATGTTTGCAAAGTTCATCCATGCTGCAGCATGTATCAATACTTCATTCCCTCCTATAGATGAGTAATAGTTCACCGTATAGCCATACCACATGGACATACCACATTTTATTTATCCAATTATCTGTTGATACACATGGATTGTTCCCACTTTTTGGCTACTATGAATAATGCTGCTATAAACATTCTTGTACAAGTTTTTGTTTAGATGTATGTTTTCATTTCTCTTAGGTATATGCTTGTCGTGGACTACATGTTTGTGCTCCCTCCCCCACCCCAATATTGGTATGCTGAAGCCCTAATCCCCAACGTGATAATCGAAGACGGAGACCTTGGAAGGTAATTAGGTTTAGATTAAGTCATGAGATTAGGACCCTCCTAATGGGATTAGTGTCCTTATAAGAACAAAGACCAGAGCTTGCTCTCTCTTCCTGCCATGTGAGCACACAGCAACATGGCCATCTGAGAGTCAAAAAGAGGCCCCTTATCAGGTACTGGAAACTTGATCTTGGAATTCTCTGCCTCTAAAATTATGAGAATAATGGTCTCTGTTTAAGCCACTTAGTCTATGGTATTTTGTTATAGCAGCTCGAGCTAAGAGTAGAACTGCAGGGTCACATGGTAACTCTATGTTTAGCCTTTTGAGGAACTGTCAGACTATTTTCCAAAGCAGATACAGCATTTTAAAATCCCACCAACAGTCTATGCGGGTTCCACTTTCTCCACATCCTCATCAACACTTGTCATCATCTATTTTTTAAATTATAGTCATCCTATGGGCTGTGAAGTGCATCCTCACTGTGATTTTGACTTGCACTTCTACAAAGGCTTTTGATGCTGAGCACTTTTTCATGTGCTTACTGTTCATGTGTATACCTTCTTTGGAAAAATATCTATTCAGATTCTTTGCCCATTTTTAAAATGTGGTTATGTCCTTTCACTAGTGAGTTGTAAAAGTTCTTTATATATACTAGACAAAAGTCCCTTATCAGACGTAGGATTTGCAAATATCCCATTTTTCAGGCTTTTTCAATGTCTTAATGGCATCCTTTCACATACAAGTTTTAAATTTTGATGAAGTCCAATTTATTTTTTGTTTCCTTTTGTGGCTTATACTTTGGAAGTCATGACTAACCACTGGCTAATTCAAGATCACAATGATTGACATCCATGTGTTCTTCTAAGAGTTTCATAGTTTTAGCTCTTATATTAGGTCTTTGATTTCTTGTGAGCTACTTTTTGTATATGGCGTAAGGTAGTGAATCTAATTTCATTCTCTTGCATGTACATGTCCAGTTATACCAGTATAACAGACGTCTCCCCTCATGCCTTGGAAGGAGAAGGTTATATTCCAAATATTAGATTTGTGTAAAAACAGCAAATCATTATCAGTCAGAATGTATTAAAAACTCCTAAAAATCAATAAGAAAAAGACAACCCTACAGAAAAACTGGACAAAGGACATCAAAAAGGCATTGCATTGAGGGGGAAAAGTAAATGGCTTATAAACATGGGAAAAAGTAATTATATTAGTAATCAGAAAAATGTAAGATGAAACCACAATTAAATAGTATTTTATATTACACAAAATTTTAAAATCTGACAACAGCAAATTATGGTGATGATGTGATGCAATACAAGTCTCAGAATTTGCTGGTGAAAGTGTAATTTAAAAGCCTACTTGGCATCATCTCATAAAGCTCAAGATGCACATACTTTGTGACCAAATTATTCCATTTGTTTACCACAAACTCTTAGATATGTGCATTAGAAGATATATTAATATATAGGCTGAGTACCCCTTATCTGAAATGTTTGGGACAAGAAGAGTTCAGATTTTATATTTTTTCAGATTTTGGAATATCTGCACCATACTTTGAACACCCCAAATGTGAAAATCTGAAATTCAAAATGCTCCAATGTGCATTTCCTTTGAGTGTCATGTTGGTACTCAAAAAACTTTGGATTTTGGACTATTTCAGATGTTGGATTAGGGATGCTCAACCTATATGTAAAAGATCTATATGAGAATGTTTACATTGGCATTATTTATTTAGGAAAAAAAATCCATCAACAGAACAGATTCATAAATTGTGGTAAATCTGTTTAATATATACAGTAAGTACTACTGAGAAAATTCAGTGTCATGTAAAACTGAATAATATATAATACATATGCCAGAGGCAATATTATAAAAAAAAAACAAAAACAAAAACAAAAACAAAAAAAGATAAAAATATAAAATACAGCTAGGATAAAGGAAAGGCTTCAAAGATATGGGTGTTATTGTATGACTACGGTAAGTGTGATCACCTAGCTTGTGAACAAAACTTGTGAACTTTTTACATATTATTTATATATATTACATGTATATATACTTAAGTCTTCTATATTTAAATATTCTTTGTATGTTTGAAATATCTCATAAAGTCCTAAAATGTCTTGAATTGAAAGTCTTTATGTGAGGCATGTACTCCCTATTCACCTCAATTGCAGTCCTCTTCCCACTGTCTCAATAGGGTCTCCTTTTAAATCCAGCCATGAAGCAATTCAAGTAGGCAAGTATCATCCTCCATGGTACTGTCATCTCTCTATCTCCAGATTATCTGGCAACAATCCCATCAGAACTAACCATGGCCTCCTCTTTTCCTCCCATTACTAGTTCTCTTTTTTGTGGCTGTTTCTACCATCTTGGAAATAATAATTTTTAACTCTCTATATCTGATCTCCCTTTTCCTATTTAAAAAAAAAAATCCTTATCTGTCCTTATTTCTAGTACAATTCCAAAATGAAGACTGACTAGCATAAAATTAAGTACATGAATCCCCAATAAATATTTGTGGAAAATCACTAGATCTGAACAATCTCAGACCATAGGTTTTGGAACTGGCTATCTGGGAAGAGAGAAAGACAGGGGTATGACAGTCAATTAAAACATAAACCCTGACAGACAAAGGAACTCTGCCTATATAGAAACAATAAAGATGGTCTGTCTCTAGTCACAGTATAATTTATGCAGGAAAAAAAGCAAACTTTTGGTGGAGAAAGAGGTCATTCTCATTTAAAAAGAACTTTATTAATAAATATTTGTATATGTGCTTATTCAACATAAATCTTCTGTTTAGAAAAAAGTATTATAGCTGAGTAAACTGTTCATTTGCATAATAAGAACCCACAGTGCTCTTATATGCTGATAAACTTTTAAATAAAAAGTCACGGAGTATATGTTTAACCATTAAATATTCTAGCCAAATGAATACTGACAGAGTAAGATACCAGTTTTGATAAGAGCAAACATCAATACAAACCCATTAATGTGTTCCTTTCCACCACAGTAGCTGGTCTATCTCCATCACCACATGCAACTTGCTGAGTTAAGTAGGCAGACAAGGATGACGGTAGAGCATCCTGCCAGATTAAGAAGTTCAGCAGGTAGGAAGCTGTCACACAGTCGTATGGTTTGGTGCTTGTGCTGAGCGCCAATGCTGCCTGAAATAAGCCTTGCAGTTTCTCTGAATCCTAGAATAAAGCACAGACTCAGTAACTGTCAAATTAAAGATTTCTTTAATTTAAAAAAATAGTAAATTATTTAAAACACAGCCTGGTGCTGGGTACAGTGGCTCAAGCCTGCAGTCCCAGCTACTCAAGAGGCTGATGGAGGAGGATTACTTGAGGCCAGGAGCTCAAGATCAGCCAAGACAACATAGTGAGACCCCATCTCAAAAAAACAAAACAACACAGGCTGGGTGCAGTGGCTCATATCTGTGACCCCATCACTTTGGAAGGCCAAGATGCGAGGATCGCTTGAGGTTAGGAGTCTTGAGACCAGCCTGGGTAGCACCGTGAGACAAAAAACTTACTCTACAAAAACACTTAAAAATTAACTGCGTGTAGTGGTGCACACCTGTAGTCCCAGCAAGTCAAGAGGCTGAGAGAGGAAGATCACTTGAGCTCAGGAGTTCATGGCTACAATGAGCTATGACTGCACCACTGCACTCCAGCCTAGGCAATAGAGCGATACTCTGTCTCTATGAAAAAAAAAAAAAAAAAAAAAACAGCCTGGCATACAACTGTAACTCAATATAAGTATTAATTTCCTTTCTCCCTGAATATAGGTAAGTTTTTTATTACAGTAATTAATGATTATTAATCGGTTGGAAATAATTTCAATTGGGAAATTCAACACTGATAAAACCTTTTTTTAAAACTGCTTCTTTCTTCAGCAAAAGTGTACTTTGTCCTTTAGAATTTTGCTATGATTACAGCCAGACTATCTTCACTATTTCTAGACAGGGCAGTTCATAGTCTCTCTGGGCTGATGTTTCACCTGGGCATCATATGGCTGCCCTTCTCCCTTCCTCCTTCCTATACAGTTAGTTCACTGGAGAAAACTGCAAATCCCCTGGGAAGCTGTACCTGGCAAAACTTCGTGTGTGCAGAAAACAAAGTGATCAATTCAGCCTCAGAAATTATACATCAGTGCTCCCACACCTATATCTCATAGAAACATCCACTCACATCGCCTGTCCTAAAGAAGACAGAACAAAGGACAGTGTGCTGTTGTAGTCACGGAAAGGCACTGGGTTGACAACAGAAGACATGAGTCCTAGTCCCAACTTCAACAACTGGCAAGCTGTGTGTTCACCAGTCTGGAAGTCAGGGTTTGGCTGCTCAATAATATTCTGATTCTACTAGGATTATGCCCTATCTTATGTCAGTAGAAAATAATTATACACTCAATTTTGAAGTAGATTACAGGTCTACAAATATTTGATGATGTTTTATAATTTCACAACAGTAGATATCAAATGTGCTGATTTAAATATGTTTATTCCAATTTAAATTCTTTACCATTTGATATGTTTATTTTCTATGACCTAAATAAAAAACTTAAAAGTAGTGGCCAAAGTTCAAGTATTAGAACCAACTAAGCATCTACGCCATTTTTTAACTGACAATTAAGTCCCAGAACTGTTTTATTAACCATTAGTAAGAAAAATAATAGCCTTTAAAGTCTAAAATGTCTTTGTTCCATCATCTTAGGTAAATCAAAGTATAATATGACAAAAGATCTAGGATATGCAGCTCCACAGAAAGAAGGGGAGTAAACTAGGTGAACAGGGTAGTCAAGCTACTTATGAGAAAAATATGCCGTCAACAATACGTACGTACGCGTCCTTAGAGAAATCAGGTTAGCATTCAAAAACTGCTGTAAACTTAACTATATTAAAAAATTAATTACATATAAGGCACACCCAAAGAAAGACTTTGGAAATATAATATTGTGATGGTTAATACTGAGTGTCAACTTGATTGCATTGAAGGATGCAAAGTATTGTTCCTGGGTTATGTCTGTGAGGGTGCCAAAGGAGATTAATATTTGAATCAGTGGACTGGGAAAGGCATCCTCTATCTGGGTAAACACAATCTACTCAGGTGCCAGTGCAGTCAGAATAAAAGCAGGAAGAAGAACATGGAAAGATTAGACTGCTTTAGTCTTCTGGCCTACTTCTCCCATGCTGGATGCTTCCTGCCCTGGAACATCAGACTCTCCCAAGTTCTTCAGCTTTGGCTTCCTTGCTCCTCAGCTTGCAGAGGGCTATTGTGGGACCTCACCTTGTGATCGTGTGAGTCAATGCTCCTTAATAAACTATCCTTTAGATATACATCTATCCTATTAGTTCTGTCCCTCTAGAAAACCCTGATACAAATATATAATTAATATTTTTAAGTCTTGAATGCCTATTCCTTTAACTATTTTACTAATCTGCAAGCCAGACAGAGAGTATAAGCAAAATCCTATAGCAAACCACATGTGGTACTAAATTTCTTGAATTCTATGGCTAGTGTCACTATACCAAGCACAGGTTTATCAAATTTAGAGATGCAGAGGTCCCCTAAGCCCCTTAGTGATGCAAGGGCCAAGTCTTTCACATTTATGCCATAATATGCCTTCTCCATCCAGGTACTCTCAAAATATTTGCCAAGAATGAGGCATCACTATTGACAAAATATGAGGTGACGTGATGAAGGATAAGGTGAGGAGGGGCAGACAGAGGAAGAGAAAATCTCCTCTTTAAAACCTGTGTATGGTAACGAAAGTTAGCAGCCTGAGCACCAGGGAACTTTCTGCTCACAAGGGCACCTGAAAAATCATAGGCATCGGTAGATGCTGTACAGCAACTTCCAATATGGACCCAAGTCAAAAAAGATAGCTGTTCTGATAGATAGATAGATAGATGTTCTACATAGCCATCTAGAAGCCACAGAAACAGATACTACCCTCTCTGGCATGTGATCCTACAGAATCTCACTGCATCTACAAGCTACCATGCCCTAAACACAGCTGAACAACCACAGCCTAGACCATGGCTCAGCTGCAGCAGGCACCCTCAGCCTTTATAGAGCTCTAATAGAAAGCCATAGCTAAGCTCCAGAACCAGTATTCTGCTGGTGACCCAACAGCCCCAGGAGAAGCCTCAAGGGCAGAGAGCCTGGGTCTGGAAGTCCCCTGCAGACTCATCCCCATGCAATGTGTTCACTTCCAACCCCATCTTTAATTCCTACCCCAAAGTGGGAAGAGCAATGTGTCAGGAAGAATGGAGGGGCTGGGGATGAGGTAGAGCACCCAGGGACTGTTGTTAACCTCAAGTACTTGGTAAGTTTCAGTCTCAGTTTAGCTATTGCTGGTTGAAAAACCAGAAACATCCTCTCTACCTCATTTACACTCAGTTTCTCAAGTGTATGAAAAAGGGAGATTATCTCAAAAAATGCAAGTTACTGTAAGCGATGTGTTCTAATCGAATATTACATGTCCAAGGAAACAGGGGAAACCACAGTTAACTAAAATCTACCAATAATCTGGTAAACAATAAAACCTACCACCTCCTACACCTCCCTTTTTATGAAAGCAATAAAAACAGCAAAGCTCACTGATTTGGGCCTTATTTACTTTTTGATATTTCCTCCTTTCCCACCAACCCCAAAATAGTAGGGAGGTGTTAATGATAATTGAAAGAAACAGTCCAAAAACATGAGAAGGCAGACGCAAAGTGCATGAAAAATCCTCAGATTGCTTTATCTGCTGATAGAAAGTTTCCATGCATATACCACATTTATACTAGAAAAGTCCTGATACCTGAAAATGTACAGCTGTTTTTGATAACTTCATCAGAAGATCAAATGCTAACATTTTCACATCTTCAAAAGTGCTGGTAAAACATTCCATTAGTGCTTGGAAACGACCAACATCAATATCATGATTCAGCTGATATACTGTATAAATTCTACCTAAAAATATTTTTAAAACAAAAAGATTTAAAAGTGAACAAAAGAAAATCAATCTTCTGAAGTTATTTGACCAAATTTATAGAAAATTAGTACCAAAAAACCACACTTCATACTTTACCCATGATAGCACAAAACAGTAACTTTTCCATCAATTTATTTCTTAAAATGACAAAATAAGTACCCCAGTTCTCCAAATTAAAAAAGATTTTAAACCATTCCATTATCTTTCGAAAGATATTATATAAAAGATTCCTAAGTTATTGTTAAAAATAAACAAAAACAAGTAAATTTAGAAACACATCTTTTTAAAAATCTTAATAAAACTTCTTGACCTAGAATACAAAGTCCTGGCCGGGCTCAGTGGCTCACGCCTGGAATCCCAGCGCTTTGGGAGGCCGAGGCTGGTGGATCACCTGAGGTCAAGAGTTTGAGACCAGCCTGGTCAACAGAGTAAAACCCCATCTCTACTAAAAATACAAAAATTAGCCAGGCGTGGTGGCACATGGCTGTAATCTCAGCTACTTGGGAGGCTGACGCAGCAGAATCACTTGAGGCCGGGAGGTGGAGGTTGCAGTGAGCTGAGATCACATCAGTACATTCCAGCCTGGGCAACAGAGACTTGGTCTCAAAAAAAAAAAAAAAAAAAAAGCAAAGTCCTACTGTATCTTAGAATGAACTAACACAGAATGATCAGTATAATGACATATCCTGACAGACTTACTGGGAGTCAAGGATAAAGAAGGAATCTACTGGCCATTCAGGGAAGAGCTCAATTCATCTACAAAATGGAAAAAATTAGACTGGCTGCATTCATCCCTATAACAACACGTAGTGCTAAAAGATAATGAAGCAATGCTTACAAAATCCTCAGGGAATGAAGGTGTGAAGAACTTTGCCTATCAAACTCTTATTCAAGTACAAGAACAATGGAAACATTTTATAATATGCAAGAAATTAAGAACTACTTATCTCCAGAAACTTTTGGTGAAAAAGAAATTTCAGCCAACCAACGGATGAAAAGAAAAATTATCCTAAAGAATGATGGCGGCCGGGCGCGGTGGCTCAAGCCTGTAATCCCAGCACTTTGGGAGGCCGAGGCGGGCGGATCACAAGGTCAGGAGATCGAGACCACAGTGAAACCCCGTCTCTACTAAAAATACAAAAAATTAGCCGGGCACGGTGGCGGGCGCCTGTAGTCCCAGCTACTCAGGAGGCTGAGGCAGAAGAATGGCGGGAACCCGGGAGGCGGAGCTTGCAGTGAGCCGAGATCGCGCCACTGCACTCCAGCCTGGGCAACAGCGTGAGACTCTGTCTCAAAAAAAAAAAAAAAAAAAAGAATGATGGCAATCACTGACTCCACTTAACTCTAGGATGAAGACTCAAGAACTGTGGAAAAATAGGGTTTCACAGCAAAATGTGAAGAACACTTAAAAACATTTCACAAGTGAACTCCTAAGGAAAACGGAAACATTCTTATGCTTACATAATTTGAGGAATATAAATTGGGATACAAATTTCTCATTTAATCTTAATTTACAAGTTAGCACAACCCTATGAAATTCCTAGAGCCGACACCTGAGGTTTTTGTTACTTCCTTAACAACTCTGTTCAGATTTGCTTCTTGTTTTCCAATCTGACTGCTTTTTATTTTTTTCTTGTATAATTGCTCTGGCTAGAACTTTCAGTACAACAGTGAACAGCAGTGGTGACGGTGGGCATCTGTGTCTTCTTCCTGATCTTAGGGCAAAAGCTTTCAGTTGCTCACCAATGAGTGTGATGTTACCTGTGGTTGTGTTACAAATGTCCTTCATCATCTTGTCCTTCCTATTCCTAGTTTTGCTGTGTTCATTTTTTTTAATCATAAAAGGGTACTGAATTTTGTCAAATGCTTTTTCTGCATAAATTAAGATGATCACATGGTATTTCCACCTTCATTTTAATGTGATGACACTGACTATTATTCTTAAGTTGACCCACCCTTACATTCCTGGGATAAACTCCACTTACTCATGGTATATAATACTTTTAATATGCTGCTGGATTTGGTTTGCTAGTATTCTATTGAGGGTTTTTGCCGTCAATAAGGCAATAAGGGATATTGGTCTTTCATCTTCTTTTTCTTTTCTTTTTTTTCTTTTTTTTTGAAATGAAGTCTCGCTCTTGTCACACAGGCTGGAGTGCAATGGCGCGATCTCGGCTCACTGCAACCTCAGACTCCCGGGTTCAGGCGATTCCCCTGCCTCAGCCTCCCGAGTAGCTGGGATTACAGGTACCCGCCACGACGTCCGGCTAATTTTTTGTATTTTTAGTAGAGATGGGGTTTCACCATGTTGGCCAGTCTGGTCTTAAACTCCTGACCTCAGGTGATCCACCAGACTCGGCCTCCCAAAGTGGTGGGATTACAGGCATGAGCCACCACACCCAGCCGGTTTTCTTTTAAGTGTCTTTGGTTTTGGTATCAGGGTAATGATGGCCTTATAAAATGAGGTAGGAGGTGTTCCCTTCTCTCTAATTTTTTGAAAGAGTCTGAGAAGGACTGGTGTAATTCTTCTTTCAATGTTTTGTAGATTTCACCGGAGAAGTCACTCACCCTAAACCTTCTCTTCTCTCCTTCTGTGAACCTTCTGAATACTGATTCAATCTCTTCTTAAAGGTCTGCTCACATTTTCTATTTCTTCTCAAGTCAGTAATTGTCATGTTTCTAGAAGCTTGTCCATTTCATGTAGATTATCTAACTTGGTGTTACAACTGTTCACTGTATTGTCTTATAATCATTTTTATTTCTGCAAACTTAATAGAAATGTTCCTACTTTCATTTCTGATTTTAGTTGTTTGTACTGTCTTTCTTTTATCTTAGTCAGTTTAGCAAACTTTGTCTATTTTGTTGATCTTTAAAAACACAACTTCTGGTTTCGTTATTTGTGTTGTTTTTCTATTCTCTATTTCGTTTATCTTTGTTCTAATCTTTTTGTTTCCTTCCTTTTAAGTTCATTCTTCTCTTCTAATTGCTTGAGGTAGAAAGTTAACTTGGTTATTAATTCAAGATATTTTAACGTAGGCATTTACAGCTATAACTTTCCCTATAGGCACTGCTTTTGCAGCATTGTGTAAGTTTTGGTATGTTGTATTTTTGCTTTCACTCATCTCAAAATATTTTCTAACTTCCTTCATTATTTATTCTTTCATCCATCAGTTGTTTAAGAGCTTTTTTCAAATTTGAAGCCCTTTATGACACCACTGTATGAAGCCACTAACACTCTCCAGCCTCCTAGGTCTTCTATATATCCCCCTTATCTTCTTGAAATACTTTTCATAGAACTTATCTACATCTTGTACATACATAATCTATATAATCTTGCATCTACATAATGTAATAATGTATACAAATTCTATGTATTACTTGTTCATTCCTGTCTCCCTTCACTGAAACATAAGCTCCAAAGGAAGAAGCACCTTGCTTGGGACAGTGAATATCCTTGGTTGCTTGACATATAATAAGCACTAAATTAATATTTGCTGAACAAATCCTTTTAATCTAATTGTAGAATTTTATTACCATCAATATTGTGGCATTTGATTCCACATAAGAAAGATGCATGCAACTTACTCTTCTTGGTCTAGGAAAGGCAGAAACCATTTGACTAATCTCAAATCAGAGTCCTATCACTGAAGTTCTTGAGATGATAATGAAGGATGAATTTACATCTCCTATCCTGTACTTCACAGTCAAGGTTCTTAAGTCTCCTTTAAAAGCAATGGCTACAGTATGGCTTGCTCCATTTGCATTACCTCCCAGTTGTCTAACATAATTACAATGGCATAAGTCACTGCCCAATTACATGAAACTCATACATTAGGAAGATGACTCAGGGTTTTCATTTTTAAAGTACATTTAAATGTTTTAAATTACTCTCTTGACTGAAAAATTATAGGTACGCTTCAGCCTAGTTTTAATTCCCACACACTTAGGTGCAGCTACAACTACATCAAATGCGCAGGAAACGTTTTGTTATATGATTGAAGTAATCAATCACTCTGAGGTAAAAACTTATTTTCTAAATTAAGTTGAAGTACTACTGAAATTTTATGAACTGACGGGAGACTCCTGCATTCACTGAATGCTGTAACAAATTACCACATACTTGGTGGCTTAAAACCACAGAAATCTATTCTCTCACAGTTCTGGAAGCCAGAAGTTCAAAATCAAGGTGTCAGTAGGGCCATGCACTCCAGAGCCTCTAAAATCTGTTCCTTGCCTCTTCCAGCTTCCAGCAGCTGCAGGCATTACATGGCCTGGAGCCATATCACGCCAATCTCTACCTACGCCGTCACACTGCCTCCTCTTTCATTTGTCAAATCTCTCTCTGCCTCTGTCTTGTAAGGATACTTGTGATGACATTTTTGGTCCATCAAGATAATCTAGATATCTCACCTCAAGATCCTAAACTTAAGAACATCTGCAAGGACCCTTTTTCCACGTAAAGTTTGCATTCACAGCTTCTTAAGGATTTGATGTGGATGTGTTTTGGAGACCATTTTTCAGCCTGCCATCCCCACTTGAGTAAGGTGATCATATTTCTTACATAAATACTGTAACAAGCCAATATCATCAATACTCTAATAGGATGCCCTGTGAAGAACACCATATCACCCATACAACATTGCTGCAAAAATGTACAGCATGAATCAAGTCATCAGCAAACAATGAGACAAACCCCAATTGAGACATATTCTTCCAAAACGTTAATATCATAAAACAAGAAACCTTCCAGATTAAAGGAAGCTAAAAAGAGGCATAACAACAAAACGCAATGCATGATCTAGGGTTGCTTCCCAGATTGTGGGAAGTTAGTTTTTTGTTCTATAATATAAAAGGCCATTTGTTGGGACAATTGGCAAAATTTAAATATGGACTGCATATTCGATTAAAGCATTGTATCAACATTCAATTTCCTGAATTTGATCGTGTTATGGTTATAAAATTAATAAAAGACACAGATATAGCAAATATTGCAAAATATTAATAACTGATGAATCGGCCGGGTGCGGTGGCTCATGCCTGTAATCCCAGCACTTTGGGAGACTGAAGAGGGTGGAAAACCTGAGGTCAGGAGTTCGAGACCAGCCTGACCAATATGGTGAAACCCTATCTCTACTAAAAATACAAAAATTAGCCAGGCATGGTGGCGGGTACCTGTAATCCCAGCTACTCAGGAGGCTGAGGCAGAAGAACTGCTTGAACCTGGGAGGCAGAGACTGCAGTGATCACGCCACTGCACTCCAGCCTGGGCAACAGAGAGAGACTCCGTCTCAAAAAAAAACAAAAACAAAAAAAAAACGATGAATCTAGGTAGAGCGTACATGGCTATTCATTGAACTAGTCTTGAAACTTTGCTGTTGATTTAAATTTTTTCAAAATAAAAACTTTTAAAAACTGATTTTCCCCAAATGAAGCAAGCCTCTATTACATTAGCTAACTGTCCTGTCAAAAAATTACACTTTGCCCAATACTTTAAAATAAAAAAGAATCCAATGATAGCGTAAAGCTCCTCGTACTTCGGCCATTCCCTGTGAAAGAGCAGCTGAGCAGGATATTTTCCTGTTTGACCACAGTCAAGGAAGACTGAGCACAAGCAAGAAATCCCGCATTATAACACATATACACACATGTACACGGAAAAAAGAATCATTTTGGCAGGGCACGGTGGCTCACGTCTGTAATCTTAGCACTTTCGGGGACCGAGGCAGGCAGATCACGAGGTCAGGAGATCAAGACCATCCTGGCTAACACGGTGAAACCCCATCTCTACTAAAAACACAAAAAATTAGCCAGGCGTGGTGGCACGTGCCTGAAGTCCCAGCTACTTGGGAGGCTGAGGCAGGAGAATCACTTGAACCCAGGAGGTGGAGGTTGCAGTGAGCCGAGACCATGCCACCACACTCCAGCCTGGGTGACAGAGCTAGACTCTGTCTCAAAAGAAAAAAAAAGGAATAATTTCTTGTCAAAAAAGGAAAAAAAAAAAAAAGATTTGAAGAGGGAACTGAAATTTCACCCTCTTGAGAACCACACAGAAGGAAAAACAAAGGGTATCATTAAACCAGAACACTTGGAAACTACAGCCTCATGTTGTCTTTCCGAAACCAGATTGAGGCATATGAAACAGATAGTATGTAAGGGAAACCACATTTTAACCACTGAGCTCACTGAGAAATATTAAATATAATAGAAGCTATTATTATTTCAAATTTTAAAACTTAAAGAACAGATTGGATACTATCTTAAAACAGCAACAAACAAATTAGGGAGGTAAGAGCTGGAACTGTTTCCATAATAAGCATAATCCATGAAAATTACACTTTGGGGTTGGCAAATAATGATCAATGAAAAGGGAGATAGTTTCTCTTCTGTCCTTTACTGGCAAATTTCATTATGTACAAGCAAGAATTATATGGTAAGAATAAAACCTCAAAGAAAGGCAACAAAACTGAAACTTCAAATAAAGCAAAATGTAGAATAAGTATGTTTTGAAAGAAAAAAAATTATTTCCCATAACACTATTAAACACTTACCTTCTGGGACATGAAAAACTTCAGCTATTGAGCCTAAAATGGTTAAAGCTGAAAATCTAGTTGAGTAGGAAGATCCAGGAAACAATGCTTCAAAAAGACTGTTACAAATGGATGACATGAAATTCTTAAAAAAAAAAAAAAAATTACAGTAAGTATAATTACGTCACAATAGGTTATATTCATAGTATTAAACACCCTTTTAGAGTGGGTGTTTTTGTTTTTAACGTAAAAATAAAAAATTTCAAAAACGATACTGGTTGTTCACTTTGCTTAATAATTCAGGTTAGTACCCTTGACCATAAGCTATATCATGACTTTAATAAACCCTATATTTGCAGAGTCAACAAGAAGTACAATTTCTATTGTAGCCCAGACAGATACGTACACTTTTTTTTTTTAAGACACAGTCTCACTGGGTTCAACAGCCCTAGTCTTCACTGCCTCTACCGAAGATCCCCGCATTCATTTCCAGGGTGAAGAACATGCAACCTTGGGGATTTATCCTTTAGGTCCCCACAAGCCCTAAGAGTTTATTAGGTTATTAATTCTATTAGGTTTCAAAGGAATAGGGCCATTACTGAAAAATATCCTAGTTAAACTACTTTTAATTATAAGTGAAACAGGATTCACATTAAAACACAACAAGGGCCAGGCGTAGTGGCTTATGCCTATAATCCCAGCAATTTGGGAGGCTGAGGCGGGCGGATCACCTGAGGTCAGGAGTTCGAGACCGGCCTGGCCAACATGATGAAACCCCGTCTCTACTAAAAATACAAAAATTAGCCCGGTGTGGTGGCGGGCACCTGTAGTCCCAGCTACTCAAGAGGTTGAGGCAGGAGAATTGCTTGAACCCAGGAGGTGGAGGTTGCAGTGAGCCAAGATCACGCCACTGCAGTCCAGCCTGGGTGAAAGAGCAAAACTCCATCTAAAAAACACAAGATCATCCACTAGGAGGTATCATTCAAACTGTATTATCATTTATATGCTTAAATATAGTTCTTCTTTCTTGCAATCAGACTGTAGCCATGATGAAGGTAGGGACCACATTTTTATGTTTGCATCCCTAGTGCTGAGCACACTATCCTACATACATATTAACGCTCAGTATATGCTCTAATCACTTTTAATGGTTCCCAGTGAAGCTTCCAAATCTTCCTTGGCCTATCACTGAAAGCTATCCATTTTCAACTTGATTCTTTGGATTCACTTCCCATTACTCAAGTCCTCCATTCCCTAAGGTATTTTACGTCATTCACACCACTGAATTCACCATTCCCCGAGTTCTCCCTGTACTTTCTTATCTCCAAGCCTTCATTAAGCTAGTACTGGGGGTTGCAGGGAGAAAATACTGAGATTTTGGAGTCAAGAGCAGGTCTGGACTGGAGTTCTGACTCTACCACTTACTAGCTGAGGAACCTTACACAGGTTATTGCACTTCACTGAGCTTCAGCTTTCTCACTTGTTAAGTGGGGATAAGAATGTTATCTCACAGCCTTTTTATTAAAGGTTAAATGAGAACATGGACATCTAACATTTTATAAATGTAGAAGGACTCTAGTTACTACAGTTATTTAGGTATAAAATAATCTCCACTAGACTAGAAGATGTCTTTTTCAACTAATAGCCTCCTCTTCTCCCCCAGCACTTAAAGTCTATCGATTGGCACTGAGCACACCACACACTGTGCTCGGCACCCACTGTTCTGACGATGTGACAGTCATGACAATATAGTGCCAAGGTCACAACCTCCAAAAGCCACAGGTGTGCCAGTAGGGGAAAAGTACCACAACCACGAGACTGACTCAGATTAAGACTCTAAGCACTAATTTTCAAAACATGCATACTTATAAGCACAGACCAAGAAACCATGCATACACGAAAATTCAGAATCTCAATCCAAAAAACAGCTTTTGTATTTCCAAGTACTTAACTGAGTTTTCACAAATCGTCATTTTACCCCTTACAAAAAGAAAGTAAACGAGAAATGCATTGTTAAATCTACCAATGATCTAAGAGAAACTACAAAATAACTAGGCTGGGCATAATATCCAAAATAATCCATAATAATATTGAGAGTAGGTAGTATGTCATGCCTGTAATCCCACCACTTTGGGAGGTGGAGGCGGGGGAATCACTTGAGGTCAGGATTTCGAAACCAGCCTGGGTAACAAGCAAGAACCCACATCTACAAAAAATTAATTAATTTAAAAGAAATTTTTTTAACTGTCCCACACGCACACTGGGGGCTTCAGTATATATTCTAGTCACTTTTTAAATTTTTATTTATTAATTTTTTGAAGCAGGGTCTCACTGCTCTGTTGCCCAGGATGGAGTGCAGTGGTACAATTAAGGTTCACCGCAGCCCTGACCTCCTGTACTCCAGCAACCTTCAAGCCTCAGCCTTCTGAGTATCTGGGACCACAGGTGCACACCACCATGCCCGTCTCAAGGTTTTTTTTTTTTTTTAATAGAGATGGGGTCTTGCTATGTTGCCCAGGCTAGTCTTGAAGTCCTAGGCTCAAGTGATCCTCCTGCCTCAATCTCCCAAAGTGCTGAGATTACAGGCATGAGCCAGCGCCAGTCGCTTTTAATGACTCCCAGCAAGGCTTTGTAGAGAGATAGTTACATCACTTCTTGGCCTTTTGGCTAAGATCAAGTGGAGAAATACATAGTCTACAAAGAGCTTTTTCATTTAATCCTCAAATCAATCTTTTGAGAAAGGTTACTAATTCTGCTTATAGTTGATGAGACTCAAGTCAGCCAACTAATAAGTGGCAGAATCAGGAGTAAACCTATGTCTTTAAAATTCAGGTTGTGACTTCCCAATCTTAGTCATTGAGATTTTAAGAAGTCAAGCTGATTTTAGCCTTTGAATAGAAATATTCTTTGTTTGATGGCTTTTTATCTTTTAAATACAAAACTTAAAACCAAGGGCATCCATAATAATGTTTAGCGTAAGTAGTGAGCATGTCATAGTTCAAATGTATCATCAATCTATTTATCTACCTCTTTCTCAAAATAAATAGGTAAGTTCTGTCTTCTATCTGGGCCTGAGGAGAAAAAAAGGGTCTGCTTCTCAAAGGCTAGATTTGGGGGAAGAACAGTGAAAAGCTCAATCTGTTCTGCTGAAAAGAAATTCAAGATTGTCAAGCTAAGCCCTGGCCCAGACTGGAGCTGCTGTACCTGGGTTTCCATCCATTTCATTAACACAATGCCCTAAAATCCAGCCCTACTCTTCAAGCTCACTCCAATGTGAGACAGACAGCAAGCTCCCTCCACAGCTGGACCATGGGCCAAGAGTCATTAATACCAAGCCTCTGTAAGTCATCTCAATCTAACGAGAAAACAGCCCAGCAACAGCAGTCTTCTGCCCTGGAGAAGGACGGAGTTCAGTACTATCAATTACCCTTCTGTTAAAGTACTAAATTCATCTGGCCCACATGAGCTGAAAGTGACTGGGGTTAGCCCACTAACGTCATTCTGTAACAGTCCTCCAGTACAACACTGGTTCCATAACCCAGGCTACATCAAGTAGAGCACCAAAGCAGCAGAAGAAATAGGTAATACTCAGCCTGAAGGAAAAAAAGCACAGAAACACAATTTACCGAAAGACTTCCATTTATTTCCCTTTAATGCTTATTCATTATACTTTTTAATTTTTAAAAAAAGTCTATGTTTAGAAATATATCACCTACCTTATACTGCTGTAAAGAAACAGAAGGGTGCTGTTTGGTTAACTCCTTCTCTGGTTCATGTTTGGATTTATTCTGCTCCAATTTATAAAGTACCTGAGAACTTTCCTGTATTCTACAAAACAACTTTTGAGACAAAGGAAATGAAGCAAAGGTGAGCCACACATTAAATTTAAATGTCAGCCTGAGAGGCAAATTCTTTAGAATAAAACGTCAGGCAAGGAGAGCACTGATTTTTAATCTCTTAATATTTTATAATGTTTCTTTTTGATGGAAAATAATTTTTATACCAAAAACAAAGTTGTTATTGCAAAGCAGAATACTATTATTAAACCACAGTTCTATTTCCTTTAAGTTGGCACAAACCTGAAGATGATATAGTCATTTCCCTACTTTACCAATTCTTCACCCCATAAATGTGTTGCGCAATTAATTCAAGTTGGATTATTTGATAATGATCACTTTATGAGGTGCTTAAAACTATAAAAATGCAAGGGCATTCTTTCTCCTGTTACCAATTTTTCTTAAAACTACCTTAACTCCAGCATTAGATTTTTTCTTTACAAAAAAGAACCCAAGGTTGATTTACTACACCAAAATGAAAGGCCTTTTGGCCATGTGTGGTGGCTCATGCGTGTAACCGCAACACTTTGGGAGGCTGAGGTGGGAGGACCACTAGAGCCCAGGAGTTTAAGACCAGCCAGGGCAACAGAGCGAGACCCTATCTCTAAAAAAAAAAAAAAAAAAAATTAAACATTAGACAGGCATGGTGGTATGCCCCTGTCGTCCTAGCTACTTCAGAGGCTGGGGAGGAAGAATTGCTTGAGCCCGGGAGGTGGAGGGTACAGTGAGCTATGATCACACTACTGCACTCCAACCTGGGTGACAGAGCAAGACCCTTTTTTTTTCTTTTTTTTTTTCTTTTTGGAGACTGAGTCCCACTCTGTCGCCCAGGCTGGAGTGGTACAATCTCGGCTCACTGCAACCTCCGCTCCTAGGTTCAAGCAATTCTCCTGCCTCAGCCTCCCAAGTAGCTAGGACTACAGATGCACACTGCCACGTGCGGCTAATTTTTTTGTATTTTAGTAGTGATGGGGTTTCACTGTGTTGCCCAGGCTGATCCTGAACTCCTGAAAAAAAATGGTGGGGGGAGGGGTGTGTGCTTTCCACTCTGGATTTTAATCCCAAATGTAAGCTTTATGGAATCAGAGAAAAGGTCATAGAAGGGCCATCATGAACAGATGCGGTAGCCCAATTCCATGACCATTCCCACATGCTCCCAAAATCTGGGCTCTTTTTAAAAACCATTTCCCAAACAAAGTTCACCACTTCCCTATGCCTTCTGATGGGAAATTCTACCTTTTTAAGAAGTGAACAGATCTGTTGCCGCACTCCTGGAGACTGGCTGTTAAGATTGTATGTAATAAAGAACTGAATCCACTGCATTTCTTCCATGGAAACAATTTCTGTGCTTCGATTACTTTCACAAAGCAAGCCTAATGTATCTATCCTTACCTAAAAAACATCAAGCAATAAAACATTAATTTTCCAAGAAAAAAGCAAAACCTAAATCACTTGAATTGTTTAATTACTTACATAGGCTACAAAAGGAAAAAAATAAACTTCAGTTCACCAATAGGTACCTCAGAAAGGTTTCTTAATCTCAAAGATCCTTGTGTTATTTCCTATACAATTTTTTTATTAAACGTGTAAATTGGGGATTTATAAAATGCAACAATCAAAGATTTTTATTCCATGGTAATGCTCAGCTTCATTCCTTTTTCTCTTTTTTTCCAGTGACCCCCTTTACCCCATCACCTCACTCTTAAATTACTGCCAGGCACTTCTAACTGGTTTCTTGGTTTCTTTCTGCTCCCACTCTGGAAATTCATGTTTCCACTAATGTAATTCCTTGCTGAAAACAGAGTGGCTTTGGTTTAGCTTCATAAAACCAGCTGGTGTCTGGGAACCAATGAAGTCTTTAGCCTAACATTAGACCTTTCCAAAAAATGTCCAAAACACTCCACCCCGATAAGCAATGTTCTTAATCATCCTCCAGACCTTGCTCATTTGGGTCCCTCCATTTTGTATGCTGCTCCAAGGCTTCCTCTTTTCTAATCGTATCTATCACTTTCCTAATCAAGCACCACCTGCTCTGATCAGTCTCTTCTGAGCCTCCCAAGCAAGTCCTTATGTATTTAAGGGCACATGATGGCATGCTTGTATCTGTACTGTCAGTTCTAAGAGTTTCCAGTTGTTTTATGCAAGTTTTCTTACATCCTCAACGAAACCTGCAGTAGCTTGAAGAAAGGGTCTACTGAAAGTTTAGTTGGGAGACTAGGGTTTCTACTCATTCTCTTTATGAACTCCCTAAAACAGTGTAGGACATAATGTAGGGGCCTCTACATTGAACTGCTACATGAAAGGGATCTACTGCACCTACAAATCCAGGTAATTTTCTTTACTTACTTGACAATGCTGATGAATTAAGCCTTGCTTTATTCTTGCACCAGACACGAGGTTCTCCCAGGTATCAGTAGCAGACTGAAGATGTCCATGAGCTCTAGCTATTCGCAGACATGCCATCAAAGCTCCCAGAGCCCCCCTGCTATTACAAGACCCTAAGGATGGGAAAGATTGCTCTTGTCCTGAAAGCACAGTAACAAAGACCATTACCATATTATGCAATGACTACTATAATTATCAGCTGCTAATTTTCGTGTTTCCAATTAACATTTTATTTCAATAAATGAAAATCACATTTTAAACTCATTTCTAACATAAATTAAAGTTCCTATTCTAAAATAAATCATTATTTAAAATGATTTGTCCTTTTGTCAATCGTTTCAGGTAAGCATAATTCTCTTATTGTTAACATAAACAAATCATTATTTACCTGCTAACATTTTTACTTTTTCCCTAACACTTAGAAAATGAATCAGGAAGTAAATCAGGAAAAAAAATCAGGTGGAGAAATAAACACATCAGTGGCTACAGACTTATTATTGCTCTAAAAGTAAACACTGAACCTCTCTGCACATTTTAGAGTGACTGTTTTTCACTAGTAAAGAAGATTTAAAAAGGAACACAAACAGTCTGCTGGTTTGAGACGCTAGCACATCAGCCATTACCAGGAAGACAGGGCAGCTTGATATAAAAATAAAGACAACCTTACTTCAGAACAGATTCTTGAATCCTGAATTTCAGATGGCTTTTCAAAAAGTCAAGAACAACTGTTGTCAAAAATTACAAAAAATGGCTTATTTTCACATACAGGAATCAAATTTTCCTGCTACCTCATGGCTACTCTTTGAAGTACTGAAAGTTTTTAACAATTTTAGTTGAAAATATTTCTTAAAATCACACTGTACAAGACATTTTTGCTTTGTTAAACAATATAATAATTTTAAGATTTATACAATGTGTCATGATCATCACTTTACACATCCTGAATTATGCTTGAATTTGCAGTGATTCCTGTAGGGTTTGTGAGTTTCAATGGGATGTCTACCCCTATTGTAAATAACTATAGATGGCTATTTCTTGAGATCATGCCTCTGAATTTTGTCACTTCCCCAGAGAAAAGAACTTGCTACTGCCAAGTTACCTGTCTTTAACCTTGCCTAACACAGTTTTTAATTATTGTTTCAATCACTTGAATAAGCACATTATATAAGACACACAAACTTTTATTCCAGTAATACAACAAAATAAATTCAGAACTTGAAAAAATGAATTAAAACCCTGTAATAAAGGAAAGTTTATCATTGTAAGTGGAATTATTCTTTAGCTTGTAGAAATGACTTCAGCCAAAAAACTCCATTCAGCTTTATACAGGAACATTCGTTTCAAACTGAGACATCTATCATTAATCTCCTCCTTTACTATTTATAGAAGTGGTATTTAAATTTAAATATGATTAGCATCTGCATAGCTACCTACATTTAAGTATTATAATTAGAAATTACTAAAACAAAAATGCATTTTTCTTACCAGTTTTAGCATCAATAGAAGTCTGAAGAATCTTTACCATGTACTGTAAGCTTTCAGGGCTGTAACTTAGTAATTTTGGCAAGTAATAATCAATCACGTAAGATTTTTGATCCAAGTTTCCTTCACACAGTATAAAAAGGAGAGGAGAAACCCAAGTCTCATGCCACTGGTCAATCCAAGAACTCTCAGCAGTCTGGGATTTCAAATGACTCTTATGATTTTTAAACATGGTTTCCAAGAGGTCACTTGCATAAGGTACCAATGACTGGTCCCCCATCACCTCTAAGATTTGAGATGGAATAGTTTTATCTATAGCCAGAATATGTTCAATTCCTATGCACTCTACCAAACAACCAAGGCACATGTACTTTCCTTTAATATGCCATTCCAATCGCAGAAGACACTCAGTCAGTTTCACAAAGAAAGGATCAGGGACCAAACCTGCACCTTCCACAGTGAGCCGGTGCATTTGGAGAAGGTTTTTGAACATGATTTTGGTTTGGTGTCTTAGAGCATCCAATGGATGTTCCCAATGGGTATAGACATATTCCAAAAGTCTCCCAACTATACTTGAATTCCCATTCAGGCTGTCCCTTAGGCTGGGGGAACTTGATTCAAGGACTTGTATGGCTGAATTAGTCCAGGATGCCATGATTCTAGACAGAAACATTTCCAGCGTTGGCTCTTTAATCCTGAAGAAAAACAAGCCATGATCCATTATTGTAAACTGATTAGTAAAATAAATTTCATTTTAGAACAATTTAGACTTTAAAAATATTAAATACAAAGAATGAGCACAAATTTCAATTATTAAATTTACAAGAACAAAAAACTACAAGACAAAATCGATCTCAAATTTGTGTATGAATCTTTTTACCTTGTAAAAAGTAATCCAGAAAGGAGTTCAAGACCAGCCTAAGCAATATAGTGAAACCCCATCTCTATAAAAATTTTAAAAATTAGCTGGGTGTGGTGACACACACCTGCAATCCCAGCTACTTGGGAGGCTGAGGTGGGAGGATTGCTTGAGCTCACAAGTGAGACTGCAGTGAGCTGTGCTCACACCACTACACTCCAGCCTGGGTAACAGACTTTGTCTCAAAAATAATGATAATAGTCCAGGAAAGGACATAGGGAAATTTGGGGGATGATGGAAATATTCACTCTCTTGGTTGTGATGATGATTACATGTGTAATTTATTTATTTATTTATTTATTTATTTATTTATTTTTGAGACGGGGTCTTGCTCTGTCACCCTGGCTGGAGCACAGGGGCACAATCTCGGCTCACTGCAACTCCTGCCTCCCAGGTTCAAGCGATTCTCCTGCCTCAGCCTCCCCAGTAGCTGGGATGACAGGCACATGCCACGACACCTGGCTAATTTTTTGCATTTTTAGCAGAGACTGGGTTTCACCATGTTGACCAGGTTGGTGTTGAACTCCTGACCTCAAGTGATCCACCTGCCTGAGATTTGCACACCTGGGATTACAGGCGTGAGCCACCATGCCTGGCCTATACATGTAATTTAAAACATAAGGAAAGCCAAGGGTTGGAGATGGTTGGGGGAATGGGGCTTCTCTGTGATAAAAATATTCTGAAGTTGTTTGAATTAACTTTTATGTTTAAGAAATTTTAGAAATGTTGACAGTTTATCAGACTTGTGAGGATCACTTTAGATTACCTATGTTAATGTTCTTCATAAATTCTAAAGCACTACACATGTAGAAATTTTTATAGTTTTAAAAAACGATGGTAAAAACAAATTTGAAAAAATGTTTTAAAGAAAAAAGATAGCATGAAGAATATTAAAAATTAATTTTTGAAATGCTGGTGGTTGTACAACTCTGTGAATAAGCTAATAAAGTGAATTGTACACTTTAAATTTATGAATTGCATAATATATTAATTATGGCTCCAGTATATAAAAAATTATTTTAATTTTCCTCCTTTATTCATATGTTTATTATTATCAAGCTGTATATATGTTTTGACATTTCATATATGTGATCACTTTCAGCTATTATGGCAAAAACACCACAAAAATACAAAATACAGCCCCATGAAGTCAGAAGACCTTCTAATATTGCTGTCTCAGGTTCTTATTAGCAATATGCTCTTAGGTAAGCATTTACTTTTCTAAGTCTCCCTTTGCCCATTCAACAAATTAGATTTCTTATCCTACATAGTAGACATATGAGGATCACGTTAGATTACCTATGTTGAAGTTCTTTATAAATTCTAAAGTACTATACATATAAAACTTTTATAGTTTTAAAAAATGATAACATTGAAAATGTTAAAAATTAATTTTAGAAATGTTCCTCACTGGCTAACCTACAGCAATAATTTCATTTATTTATTTTTTTGAGATAGGATCTCACTCTGTCACCCAGGCTTGAGTGCAGTGGCACAATCATACCTCACTGCATCCTTGGCCTCCTGGGCTCAGGCAATCTTCCCACCTCAGCCTCCCAAGTAGCTGAGACTACAGGTGCATGCCACCACACCCAGCTAAGTTTTAAAAGTTTTGTACAGAGAGGGTCTCACTATGTCACCCAGGCTGGTTTTGAACTCCTGGCCTCAAGTGATCCTCTTACCTCAGCCTACCGGGACGGTAGCTGGGATTACAGGCACAAGCCACTCTAGCTTTTGGACTACATCTTTTAAATGTCTTACAAGTGAAACAAAATATGAGACAATAGCATCAAAACTCACTGTGAACTCAAGGTGAACAAAACATGTGCGGTATCCAAGAGAAGGGCCTCCCCACTCCGACCCATGCTCCCATTCTGCCAGTCCAACATGGCAAGTGTCCCCTGACATAGGAATAAGACAGCTGACCCAGAGACGTTACCACAACAGAGGCTTCTGCAACTGCTCATAAACCACTCGGGGACGCTGGTGCAGTCCACTGAATGAAGAAGCACACTGCTTATCTGGAAAAATATAGCAGAGCTAATACACATAAAGCTTTTAAAACTTTTCAGAGATATTTCAAAATACAAACCCAAACATCTCTTTCCCCTGAAAAATCCTAGGAAAAATGACTAAACCCAAAGATAAAATACCCACAAATGTCATTATTATTATATTAGTATTAAAGGAATAAAATTACATCAAGTACGTGAATGATTTTGCTGGTTGGAATGTACTGGCAGAGCACAACACATCGCCACCTGCAGGTGGATAAGCTTAACAATTCTTTTTTTGGGGGTTTTTTTTTTAAACAAATGCTTTTAGAGGTGATTTGAGAAATAAACATCTTCATCTTATTCAAAGATAATTACTTTGTGTGATCTCATAAAATAATGCACATATATTTTTCTAAGGTAAGGTAAAAAGATAAAATAAGTTTCCATATAATATAGCAAGCAAAAAAAGAAACCTACTAGTAAAAAATACAAGGATTGTGGCCTAAATTATCAAATTATACTTTCTATAAGAAGCAAATTTACTGAAAAATTGACTCTATCTAGCATGCTTCCTGTCTAAAGTACATGATTTGGGTTATTCTTAATAAAAAACACATTTATCAGAAAAGTTATTACTGTATATGTATCTATACATTAATATGCATAATTTTAACATTAAAAATATCTTTTAACATATTAATGAGAGATGACACTGAACAAACAGCACTAGAAAAAACTAAAAGAATATACATCAAAAATGTTTATAGTGATTATCTTTGTGAGATGGACTTACAGGTGACTGTTATTGTCTTCTTGTTATTGTTGCTTTATCTGAAATTTTGGAATTGTCTCTTATAAGAGAAAAGGGTCATCAGAAGGAACCAGACAATGCAAAAAAAAATTCTTTTAATTCCCTTCTTTAAAAATATTTTTAATTTTTTTTTTAAGTCTCACTCTGCTGCCCAGGCTGGTGCAATCTTATCTCACTGCAGCCTTAAACTCCTGGGCTCAAGCGATCCTCCCACCTCAACCTCTCAAGAGCTGGGACTACAGGTGTGCACCACCATATCCAGCTAACTTTTTTAATTTTTGTAGAGACAAGGTGTAGCTAAACTCCCCAGGCTAATCTCAAACTCCTGGCCTCAAGTGACCCGCCTGCCTTGGCCACCCAAAGTGTTGGGATTATAAGTGTGAGCCACTGCACCAAGCCAAAAATATTTTTTAAACATACTCTAACTCTCAATAAAGTACAATTCTAAAAAGGAGATGCACTTACCAAATGAGGAATCTTTTCAGATGGGTGAAACATAGTCTTAATAAAAAGAATAATAGCTAATCCAGATGTGCTCTGTACAGTCTGTAATAGATCATCTATTTGGCAAAAAAGAAGACAGCTTATGTTAAATAATGAATATTCTGTTACAGTGGAAAGAGCAGATGCTGAGCAGCCAGATAGGCCTGGCTACAATTTCTAGTCTGACCACTTCCTGGGTGAATAGGTCTTACATAAATTATTTTAAATCCCACAAGCTCTGTTTTCTCTTCTGTAAAATGGGATAACTCTTAACTGACACAGTGTCAGGTTTAGATGAACAATGAATATAAAGGCTTTTTAGAAGCAGTCTCACTCTGTTGCCAGGTCGGAGTGCAGTGGCATGATCTTGGCTCACGGCAACCTCTACCTCCCGGGTTCAAGCGATTCTCCTGCCTCAGCCTCCCGAATAGGTAGAATTACAGGCGCGTGCCACCACACCCAGCTAATTTTTGCATTTTTAGTAGAGATAGGGTTTCACCATGTTGGCCATGATGGTCTCAATCTCTTGACCTTGTGATCCGCCCGCCTCGGCCTCCCAAAGTGTTGGGATTACAGGCGTGAGCCACCGCGCCTGGCCGAATATAAAGGCTTTTAAGCCCAGCATATAGATACTCAATAAATGTGATTCCTTCCTCTCTCCTCTAACATACACTTTCTTCCTCTCCAACTACTGCTTCCCAGAACACCTAACAGCAACACCACCTGTCCCTTCCTCTCCACCAATGCCTCTGTATCCCAATCACCACAGACATAGACTTTTTCAAAAAGAGATTTCAGGGCTTGTGTAAAGAATGTACATAAGTGCTAACTACAAACTTTGCTAGCACTGACACTGTACCCATAGCAACCAGTTTTGACTTGGTATCTTCTTTTTGTTTTATCTCTATTAGCCTCTAATACCATGGTGAATTGTTCAACCTGGGGAAAGAAGTATGACATCATAAACTACGTACTAAATATCCATTCTGCCCTTTATCCCTGATAACAAAACTGTGACTTTGATTGGGGAAGCCACATGCCCAGCCAAAAGCTGGATACCTGCTTCTTCAATCTTCTTTGCAACTAAAGGTAAGTATATAAGAGGGTTCAGGCCAATTGGATGTAAGCCAGTCACTTGAATATCCTGATTAAAAGTAAAGACGCAACTGGCCTTCCTTCTTCCTGCCTTGAATACACATCTGGAGCTACAGCAGTCATATGGCAATCACAAGGCAATAAACGTGGGAGAAAGCCAACCTGCTGAAGATGGCACAGCAGAAAAGCAGAAAATGTGTGGGTCATACACTGCCTATACCAGTTCAGGATCAACTGTCTCTGAACTTCTTATGTGGGAAAGGAGGTTTGGTTTTCAGTTACTTGCAGCTAAACACTTTACTGATCATGAACTTCAAAATGCTAGAAAAGAATAGTACTGATTAGGTGCCATCAACTTTTCAGAAAAGAAGCTATTTCTTTTTTTTTTTTTTTTTTTTGAGACAGAGTCTTGCTCTGTCACCAGGCTGCAGTGCAGTGGCATGATCTTGGCTCACAGCAACCTCCGCCTCCTGGGTTCAAGTGATCCCCCTGCCTCAGCCTCCCGAGTAGCTGGGACTACAGGTGCATGCTGCCACATCCGGCTATTTTTTTTTTTTTTTCGTATTTTAGTGGAGACGGGATTTCACCACGTTGGCCAAAATGGTCTCAATCTCTTGACCTTGTGATCAGCCCGCCTTGGCCTCCCAAAGTGCTGGGATTACAGGCATGAGCCACCACGCAAGGCTGAAGCATATTAAAATCATGTATTCTCTACATTTCATTAGTTAGAGAATCTTTTTTAGACTAACACAGTCCTCTTTTAAAAAGTAAATAACCTCTGAAAAGTTTTCTGTAAGTTACGTCTTAATAAAAGTAACTTCAACTACTTTCCTTTCAATACCTGAGAACTCAGGCAAAAAGAAAAATGGAAATACTAATTGGACAAAATATAGCTAAGACTTTCGTTACCAGGGTTAAAAACACAAAGAGGCTGGGCGCGGTGGCTCACACCTGTAATCCCAGCACTTTGGGAGGCCAAGGCAGGCAGATCACCTGAGGTCAGGAGTTCTAGACCAGCCTGGCCAACATGGTGAAACCCCATCTGTACTAAAAATACAAAAAAAAAAAAAAAAAAATTAGCCAGGCATGGTGGTGCACACCTGTAATCCCAGCTACTCGGGAGGCTGAGGCAGGAGAATCACTTGAATCTGGGAGGCAGAGGTTGCAGTGAGCCAAGATCGCGCCACTGCACTCCAGTGTGGGCAACAGAGACAGAATCCATCACAGACAAAAAAAAAAACACAAACAATGAGATGCTATTGTTTTCCAATCAGCCTAGCAAAACCAGAGTCAGTTATTGTTTTTCACTAACAAGAGCTCTAAAGAGATCCATTAGCATGTTTTTAATTAAGTTACATTCATACATATATTACCATATAGAATGGGAGGTGAAAAGAGGATAATTCAACTTTTTATATAAATACTTGTGTTAGGTATCACTTTTTGTTAATCTTATAATAATAAACCACAGATTCAAAAAAAGTGACAGAAAACAAATTTATAGCTTAATAAATTATTTAAAAGTGATCACCCTTGAACCTATCTTCCAAGGCAAGAAATAGAACTCAGCTACTCAGGCTGGGCACAGTGGCTCACACATATAATCCCAGCACTTTGGGAGGCCAAGGTGAGCAGATCACTTGAGGCAAGGAGTTTGAGAACAGCCTGGCCAACATGACGAAACCCTGTCTCTACTAAAAATACAAAAAATTTGTCAGGTGTGGCGGCACCCTCCTGTAATCCCAGCTACTCAGAAGCTGAGGCACGAGAATCGCTTGAACCTGGGAGGTGAAACCCAAGATGTGGAGGTTGCAGTGAACCAACATCACGCCACTACACTCTAGTCTGGGCAGCAGAGTGAGATTCGGTCTCAAAAAAAATAAAATAAAATAAAATAAAATCATGTAATGCAGGGCCTCCCTCCATTTTGGGAGGCTGAGTAAGGATACATTCCACACCTTAGTTAAGTATCACTTTTCATACTGTTAGTAGGAAAAGCTGATTGGCACTCAATTTTAACTGTCAATTATATATCATTTGTATATAATTTGTTACACTTACCATCGCTTAAAAACTTGGTAAAAATACTCAGCAATCCACACATATTTTGCCATATGGGAGAATTGGAAGCCTTCCAAAGATTTCCCTGGAAATCTTGTACTTTCTGTACTAACATCATTGAAACTCTAATGCCTACCAATAAGTCATTCATCAACTGTGTTTGAATAATATGATTTCCAGCACATTTTCTATAAAGAAGAAAAGACATTATTACAAAAGGAAATTCAAACAAAAATGTAAACATTTCTAATTCCCAGCAAAATAAATACATTCCTCAAAGGCCCGAAATCAATTTTAAATTATGATAATTTATTCCTCTCTCTTCCATTCCTACAAACATTCCAATTATGTGGATACTAACTGCAAACTTTCAACACCCTTTACTTATCAACATGTCCCTCTTTCTCAGCCAACAACTAACTTTACTTCTTCTAGGGCAAAGGTAAGAAATCAAGAATGAATGACAGAACTTGGGCTGGGTGAAGTGGCTCACACCTGTAATCCCAGCACTTTGGGAGGCCGAGGCAGGCAGATCATTTGAGGTCTGCAGTTGGGACCAGCTTGGCCAACATGGCGAAACCGTGTGTCTACTAAAAATACAAAAATTAGCCAGGTGTGGTGGTACATGCCTGTAATCCCAGCTACTCAGGGGGCTGAGGCAGGAGAATCACTTGAACCCCAGAGGCAGAGGGTGCAGTGAGCCAAGATGGCACCATTGCACTCCAGCTGGGCGACAAAGCAAGACATCATATTTAAAAAAAAAAAAAAAAAAAAAAAAGAATGACATAACTTACAAACTTGAACACTCTCTCAACGTTGATATATTTTCCCTCCCTGGCTTTTTTTTTTCTTTTTTGAGATAGAGTCTCGCTCTGTCGCCCAGGCTGGAGTGCAGTGGTGCAATCTGGGCTCACTGCAACCTCCACTTCCCAGGTTCAAGCAATTCTACTACCTCATCCTCCCAAGTAGCTGGGATTACAAGCAAGCCATCATGCCCGGCTAATTTTTATATTTTTAGTAGAGACAGGGGTTTTGCCATGTTGGCCAGGCTGGTCTCGAACTCCTGAACTCAAGTGATCCGCCTGCCTCGGCCTTCCAAAGTGCTGAGATTACAGGTGTGAGAAACCATGTCCGGCCCCTCCCTGACTTCTAAAATGTCAGGCTCTCTCGCAGATTTTCCCCTACTTCACCAGCACTCCTTCTCAGATACCTTCACTAATTCATCCTCTTCTCCCTAATCTTTTTACGTTAGGAAAGTCCAGGACTCAGTCTTTATTCCTCTTCTTTTCTCCATCTAATTCTCTCCCTTGCTGATCTCTTTAGTTCATCAGCTTTAAATTATAATCTACGTGCTGATAATTCCCAAATTTTTATCTCCAACCCAGACCTCTGTCTAATTCCTTTCTGGCATATCTAACTTCCCGATATTTTTACTTGGATGTCTAACAGACATCTCTAAATAAGTGAACTTATCTTCAACTCCAAATCTGCTATACCTGCTGCATCTTTATCCTACAAAAACACTGTAATCATCCTTGCCGCCCCTCCTCTCCATTTCATCTATAGGAAAATCCTGTTGGTTCTACCTTCAAAATACATCTAGAATCAGACCAACTCCATTGCTGTATCTTGGCCTGAGCCACTCTCATCTCTCCCTTGGGTTACTGCCACAGCCTCCTAACTGGTCTCTTGCAGCTTCTGTCCTTCCCTCTCAGTCAGTTCTCAACACAGCAAAACACAGAATAATCCTATTAAGGCAAAAGTTAGGAAAAACAACTTGGTAGTTTCTCAAAAACTTCAACATAGAATTATCTTATGAGTCCACTCTTATGTATATACCCAAAAGAGCTAAAAGCAGAGACTCAAAGATATACTTGTACATCAATGTTTACAGCAAAATTATTCACAATAGCCTAAAGGTAGAAACAGACCAAATGTCCATCGACAGACGGATTAACATGTGGTCTACACATACAATGGGATATTATTCGGCCACAAAAAGGAATGAAATTCTGATATATGCTACAAACGTGGATGACCCTTGAAAACACACCTGTAATCCCAGAACTTTGTGGGGCTGGGGCAGGGGCACTGCTTGAGCTTAGGAGTTTGAAACCAGCCAGGGCGACATGGTGAAACCCTATTTCTACCAAAAATATAAAAACAGGGCATAGTGGTGGACGTCTGTGGTCCCAGCTACTCCAGAGGCTGAGGTGGAAGGATCGCTTGAGCTTGGGGGGCAGAAGTTGCAGTTAGCCACGATCCTGCACTCCAGCTTGGGTGACAGAGCCAGAACTTGTCTCAATAAAAAAAAAAAAAAAAAAAAAAAGGAAACATAAATGAAATCAGCCTGATACAAAAGGACAAATATTATATGATTCATAAGAATCACCTAGAATACGCAAATTCAAAAAGACAGAAAGTAGAATAGAGATTACTTGGGTCTACAGGAAATGACTTTTTTAAAAAAAATAAAATTTCCTTTCTTTTGGACACACTGAACTTGAGGTACCTGTAGAACATCCAAGCTGAGATGTCCACATGTCAACTGTCAACTGATCTCCATCAGTCTACCACTCAGGAAAGAGATCTAACTTGGAGTAATAAATTTGGGAATCCTGAGTATATAGGTGGTGGCTGACACCAAAGTGGACGTTATTAAGCAGTTCAAACAAACAAAATGAAAAGGACAGAACCCATCTTTACACGATGACCATAAAAAGAAGAGCCAAAAAGGAGAAGAAGAGACAAAGAGCTCCTGCTATGGCAAAAGGCTACCATGAGTGAAAGACGATGATGTACAGGTATTATTTCTGCTCTCTCCCAGAACCTCCTCAAACCAACAGCCATGGGATTTAAAATGTAAAAAGATAAATTCTAAAGGCAACCAATATGCAACAAGACAATAATAATAATATTTCAGAAGCTGCAAAGCAGATGATGAGTGATAACTGACAGCAGAATCAAGAAAAGTGGACGCTCAGCCAGGGAACAAGCCCAGAAGCCATTTGATTTGTAGTACCAAATGGCTCAGAAACCGTTGGCACTAGGTACTCCTTGATGTGGAGGTAAACATAGGATTGAAAACAGGAAGATTAAATACCTCTGAGCCAGAAAACAACTTATCTTTAGAAAAGGTAAAACAGGTGTCTGGCAAGGAAGATAGCACACACAGATAAGGCAACAACATATTACAAAAAGGAGAATTAGGTAAATATATGCACAATGCAGGCCAAATACTGAGACCTCAGCCTTCTTCCCTCACTCAGCAACCAGACTATTAAGACAATGGTTTAGAAGATTCTTCCATGGCAAATCCAGTATCTAAGCAAAAAGATTTAAACATACTGACATCTTTAGGTTTCCTCAAGGAAGAGTTCCCCCAAGAAACAGCCCAGCTAGACTAGCCTACAATAAAATCTGCAGTCAACTCCACCCATAGGCACAGGCATTCAAATCAATCCTCAGTGTCCCATTATTAAATATGACTACCCGAGCTGGGCACGGTGGCTCACGCCTATAATCCTAGCACTTTGGGAGCCAAGGAGGGAGGATCACTTGAGCCAATGAGTTCGAGACTAGCCTGGGCATTATAGTGAGACCTCATTCCTACAAAAAATTAAAAATAAAAAAAAATTAGCCAAGCATTGTGGCAGACACCTGTAGTCTCAGCTACTTGGGAGACTGAAGTGGGAGTATAACTTGAACCCGGGGAGGCAAGAGGTGCAGTGAGCCAAGATCGTGCCACTGCACTCAAGCCTGGGCAACAGAACAAGACCCTGTCACCAAAAAAAAAAAAAATTTATATATAGATAGATAGACAGATAGATAGAAAGAAATACGTAATTGCCCAGCCAAGGATCACCAGACTTCTAAGGAAAGCTTCTAATAAGAAATATACTGAACAAAACCAGCAAACAGAAACAAGCAACTTGGAAGAAACAGAGACTATGTAAAGATGATAAAAAACAAAAAACTATCATGAATATATCCTCAGAGAAATAACAGAGGATATTTCACTCACGAAAAAACAGGATGCTATGAAAAAGGAACACACTCAGGTGAGGAAAAGAGTTCTTTCACTTACTCTCATAACAATTTATTAAATTTTTAATTTTTCATTTAAATATTTTAATATAGTTTAAATATTAAAATTCTGTATTTATTAAAATTAAGTATCAAACCTCTAAAAAATAGATTTAAATAATTGGGTCTAATATTAATGGAGAAAGGGGCTGGGCATAGTGGCTAACACCTGTAATCTCAACACTTTGGGAGGTCAAAGCAGGTAGGTTACTTCAGTCCAGTAGTTTAAGACGAGCCTGGGCAACATAGTGAGACTCTGTCTCCAAAAAAATACAAAAATTAGCTGGGTGTGGTGATGCATGCCTGTAGTCTCAGCTACATGGGAGGCTGAGGTGATAGAAACACTTGAGCCCAGGAGGTTGAGGCTGCAGTGAGCTATGATCACACCACTGCACTCCAGCCTGGGTGACACAGCAAGACCCTGCCTCAAAAAAATGTAATAGTAATAATATTAATGAAGAGGGATGAAAAGATCACATTCTGAGACTTTCAAATTTTTCTTTGTACAAAGACAATGTACAACTGCAAGTATGCACACACAAATGCCAACATATAGCACTTGCCTATTTTCTTCCACGATTTCAATTAAACTCTTCTGCAGAAAATGAAGCACTGAAACAAAAGAATATGACAAACCAGAATTTAAAACTGTGAACTTCAACTTCGATAAAATATTTTATATCACTGTTATATAAAATGATACCATGATATAGAAACAAAAATTTAAAAGGAAGGCGCATGATGTACCTGAGTTATCTACAATGCTCTACCTATTGCCAAGAAACTTAAAAGAGCCAGTTCCAAAATGACTCATAGAAGCCATCAACTCATGGAACAAAATAAAATAATAGGACTTACCATTTTTAAGCAGATTATTAACACCTGCTCTACCTGTAGAGGAAAAATTGAACGCTGGTAAGGAGTTTCATGACCAAAATTAGTATCATTTAAAACCTATGATGTGACGAGAGGCGTTAGCCAGAAAAAGGACTAGAAAAGTGCTGCCTTACCCAAGTTAAAGTTCTCCATACAGGAAGATATATTGTCAATTACTTTCCTATAAGAGTATAAGTCAGTAGTATTCAATTCTTCCTGAAGACGAGAAGTAAAACGGTGTACAGCTTCAGGTAGAAAAAATTCAGGTAGGCTATTTAGTGAGCTAGAAAAAGAAACAAATATTAAAAATCTGACAATCTAATAGCCCCAGAATATGTGGGGAGGGAAGAGAATCATACAAATGTGGGAATACTGAACTAAACCTTCAAAATACAGCCAGAAAATTACAACTCCACACTACCATCACTGTAATTCCCTGACCTATCAGCTCATCTGGTCTCCCTGCTTCCATCTTGCTTCTCTCCCATCTCCCAGATTATTCTCAACAAAGTAGGCAGAGTGACGCTGTTAAAACACCATGTCAATTCTCTTACCAAAGCCTCCAACAATATCCTTCTCGGTTAAAGTACTAGACGACGTGTTTGCAGTGACCTACAAGGTCCACCCTACACAATCTGGCACTACCGTAAGCTCCTGACCTCATCTTTTTTTTTTTTCTTTTCTTTTCTTTTCTTGATTTTTAAACGGCATCCATCGCAATCCTGACCTCATCTTGATCCTTGTTCACTTAGCTCTAGCTAGATGGCCTTGCTCTGTTCTGACATACCAGTCTTTGCTCCTGCTGTTTCTTCTATCAAAAAGACTCTTCTTTCAAATATACTCAACAATTATTGCCTCATCCCTTTCAGGTCAATCTCAATTATCTTATCACGTCTGAGCAAAGCTATATGAAGTGACCATAGTATTTTAAATTGTAACCCTCACCCTATCCTTTATGTCCCCTTTCCTCCCTCCCCGCTTTTAGACAGCACTCATGCCATCTAATAGCCTATAAATGTTACTTATTTACTTTGTCTATTTTCTATCTTCCCCTTAGAATGTAATCTCCATTCTGGACTGTTTCATTCATTCTACCCCCAATTCCTAGAGGAGTGCTGAAACACAGTAGGCAGCCAATAAAAATTTATCAAATGAATAAATTAAACATATCAATTTTGCCTCAATTAATATAAATCAAAACTGATAGGCTTTGTTTTAAATATAACTGGACAGTTCAAAGTTTTTCTGGAAGAAAAGAATTCAAAAATGGGAATATTCAGAGTAAGAAAAGTCACTAGAGGGATGACTTAACACTGATACATAATTAAAACACATTATCAAACTATAGTAAATAAAAGTGTGGTATTGGTGTATGAACAAATGGACCCAAATCAGAAATTAAACCCATGTATATACGTGAACATATAACACAATATGGTGGTGTTCCAAATATGCGGGCAAAAATGGACTATTCAACAGTTTGGATAAGTGGTTCCCCATATAAAAAAGAAAACTAAATTGAATCCCTACCTCATACTACATTCAAACCTTAATTCCAGATGGACGTAAGGGTTGAGCAAAAAAAAACAGTATAAGGCCTGCAAATAATATTGTAAATAATCTTGTATTACAGAAAGCATATATAGTAAGGTATAAAACTCAGAAATCTACACACACAAAAATTAGCTGAGTTGATAACCAAAATAAAATTTTAATTTTTGTAAAGACAAGACACCATGAGAGAGTTTAAAGACAAGTAACAAAGGAATGTATTTAGCATATCATCTATACAGAAGTCTTATAAATCAAGAAAACATTCTAACAAGAAAATGTACAAAGGATATGAAATAAAAAAAAAATAGTCACTCAAACTCCACACATTGAAAAATGTTCAATCACATGTTCAATCTGGGATACATACAAATGTGGGAATACTGAACTAAACCTTCAAAATACAGCCAGAAAATTACAACTCCATACTACCATCACTGTAATTCCCTGACCTATCAGCTCATCTGGTCTCCCTGCTTCCATCTTGCTTCTCTCCCATCTCCCAGATTATTCTCAACAAAGTAGACAAAAATGTTCAATCTGGGATACATAAATTATAATGATAGCATCTTCACTCATTAGATTTTAAAAGATTTAAAGATTCATATTATCCAATGTTGGAAATATATGAAGAAGAAATAAGCATTCTAACTCAATTGGTAGTGTGGGGGAGTACAATTTAACAAGAATTTCAATAGGCCTAATTTTTGGTCCAGAAATTCTACTTCTTGGAATTTATCTCAGAGAAATACACATATATAATTATATACATAAGAATATCACTGCAATGGGGAAGTGATTACTTTAAAACATATAATATAAATCATGCAATATGTACCATACATAGATACATATATGTCATATATACAGTACATTTAAATTTTGGTATATTCATATTACAGATTATTTATAGCTGAAAAAGTAAGGACTGTTGGCGGGAATGTAAAATGCTGCATATTGAAAACAGTATGACAGTTGCTCAAAAAATTAAAAATAGTATGACCATATGGTCCAGCAAACCCACTTCTGGGTATATATCCAAAGAACTGAAAGCAGGATCTCAAAGAAATATTTGCACACCCATGTTCACAGCAGCATTATTCACAACAGCCAAGAAGTGGAAGCAACCCGAAGGTCCACTGAAAGATGAATGGATGAACAAAACACAGTATATACATACAACAGAACATTAAGCCTTTTAAGAGAAGAAAATCCTGTCATATGCTATAGCAGGGATGAACCTTAAGGACATTACGTTAAGTGAAATAAGTCAGTCACAAAAATACAAATACAAATATTACACTAATATGAGGTATCTAAAGTAATCAAATTCCTGAATGGGAAGTGACTGCCAAAGCCTGGGCAGGAAATGGGGAGTTGTTACTTAATGAGTACAGAGTTTCAGAGCTTTGCAGATGACAAGGTTCTAGAGATCATTGCACTGCAATGTGAATATACTTAATACTGAACTATATATAATTAAAAATCATTAAGACTCAAACATCGTATGTTCTCACTCATAAGTGGGAGCTAATCTATGAGGATGCAAAGCCATAAGAATGATACAACGGACTCTGGGGATTCAGGGGAAAGGGTGGGAAGGGGGTGAGAAATAAAAAGACTACAAATTGCTGGGTACAGTATACACCGCTCAGGTGATGTGTGCACCAAAATCTCAGAAATCACCACTTATTCACGTAACCAAATACCACCTGTTCCCCAAAAACCTATGGAAATAAAAATTAAAATTTTTAAAAAAGAATTCATGTAAAAAAAAAAAAAAGGTTAAGACTGAGGTTTTACGTTACGTGTCTTTTACTATGATTTTTTTTAAAAGGATTATATGACATGGAAATATCTCTAAGACATTCTTTAGTGAAAAAACAAGCTACAGAACATTATGTAGAATACAATCTCGTTTACAGATACATTAAAAAAAGTAGAATGTAACACACATATGCCGACCTCAAAGAAAAGGTCTACAAAGATAAATACCAAAATGGTAAGTGACAATCTTTATTAAGAAAAGATAAGTCCTAAACAATGAAATGGAAGCCTTACCTTTTGTTTTGTATACTTCTATATAGTTTGAAATTTTTACACCAAGCCTATATTCCTGTGTTATCTGTGTAAATATATATTTAAACCAAGAACAGATAGGATAAAAAGACGAAAAAACAGCAAGATGACATTTAAACATAATCAATAAATGTAAATGGATTGAGGGAGGAGTTAGAAAACTACAGCCCACAGCCTGTTTATTAGTCCGTGACCTAAGAAGGCTTTTTATATTTTTAAAAAGTTGTAATTAATCAGTGAAAACAGAGAAGAAACCGTATGAATGAACTTTTTGTGATCTATATCAGTTCAGTTTTATCAAACCAAGGAAGGAATTTTAGTTACTTTTCAGTCAAATTCAACACTTTTTAATACCCGATTTCCCTTCCTTTTTTTCTTACCTTGCCAATACTTTCTTCAAGGGATTCTTTAGACTCAAAGAAAGATAAATGCCTGCTAAAATATCCAAACAACTTTGAATAGTGGGATCACACACGCCATTTTCATCTACTTTCTCCAGCAGAGGCACAATCTATAATACAAAACATTGAAGTAATTTTTCTCATATCAAGTATAGCAAAGTAACATGGTTCTAGATACTCTTTAAAGTCTCAATTGCTGGGCACAGTGGCTCACCCCTGTAATCCCAACACTTTCAGAGGCTGAGGTGGGCAGATCACTTGAGCCCAGGAGAGTTCAAGACCAGCTTGGGCAACACTGAGAAATCTTGTCTCTAAAAAAAAAATACAAAAATTGGCCAGGCATGGCGGTGCATGCCTGTAGTCCCAGCTACTCAGCTACTCAGGGGGCTGAGGCAGGAGGATCGCTTGAGCCCAGGAGGTTGAGGCTGTGGTTGAGCTAAGATTGCACCAGTGCACTCCAGCCTGGGTGAGAGCGAGACCCTGTCTCAAAAAAATAAATAAAACAAAGTGTCAATTATAAGGTGAAATATTTTCCATACTCCACTGTCAAGGATACCAATTTAAACACCTATTTCACTATTTATTAACTTTTTAAACTCATGTCCCCAGCTCTCTCTTTACCCTCCAGACCCACCTCCACAGAGAATCACAGACCTGTTAACGGCTTACGGTAAAGAACAGCTGTAGCACAATTTAAAAACCAGTAACAAACTTACTTGCTTTCCAAAAAAAAAACTATGTGTGCTCAAATGGTAAATCCTAATACCGAAATACTAATTAAGTATAATATTTATATTTTAAATTAACTTTTAAATGTGCCTGCTAAAAAGTTTTGAAGATTCATATATTTTAAAATTTATCTTCACAAAAGAGGTATGTACAATTATCTTCTACCTTATCTATTTACAGCTCAATTATGATAGAAGCCTGAATGTGGCTTCTATTGCTGTTTTGAATACGAGGATATTATACAATAAACAGAAAAGAAAAAAAATACCTATTTGTTAATGATAAACTGATATGCAATAATTAGGGGCCAAAAACTGTCAGTGATTTTTTAAAATCCTTAATAGCATGATACTCTTAAAAATGTATTCATGAATATCAATTCAGACTTACTTGTTTAACATAATGGATTTGTGACACTCCATCCGTGAGTTGTACACAACGTAACAGCAAAGAAGCTAGATTTTTCCCTTCCACATCAGCAAAAGCTACATAACATATACAAAAAAAATTTTTTCAATGATTTAACAGTAAGTTAAATATAACTTTGCCTTTGTTGTCCATTCTACAAAATTTTTTAATTATAAACCAAAGCAATAGGTGGAACATAGTCTGAAGACAGAATTTTAAGAAAATTTTTACATCCAAAACATAAGGAAAAACATAAAGAATTTGAATATTATATGCTAGGGGTCCCAGTGATTAAAATACTCTGCTTACAAACTAGAAAAAAATATATTATATAAGGGAAACCAGAAGTCACCTACATTTCAAAGTTTCAAGGTCCTGATGGCAAATGGTCAACACAGTAACTTGCATTTCTTTCTTCTTCTTTACACCCATTTTAAATAGAATTAACAGTAGTCACTGCAAGAAAGAAGACTTTAAGGCATTAATGTAATGTTTCTCAACCTCAGCACTATCAATTTTTGGCTGGGTTCATTCTTTGTGAACAGTATCATCCTATGCATTATGTTTCATGCATCCCCATCTCTACCCGTTAGATGCCAGTGGCACCCTCCTCCCTCCCAAGTTGTGATAACCAAAATACGTCTCCAAACATTGCCAAGTGTCCCCTGGGGGGGCAAAAGTGCCCCAGAATAAGAATCACTGTCTAAGAATTTCTGATGTGAAGAAGAAAAATGTTTTAAGCTCAAGTTTATTACTGACTGAAGTTATTTTACCTACTATGACTCAGTCTTTGTATTTTAAAATATAGCAAACTTTCCTTTTAGTGAACACACACACCAAAAAAACCTAGCATAGTTTTTCCAAAAATAAAGTACTTCAAACTAACCTCAGTGACTTGTTAGACTAACAGGAGGTACCACCATGTACTGATTTCTGCAAAAATGAAAAAAAAAATTTTTTTTAATATTATTCTCTTGAGTTTGCTTTTATTGATACTTAACAAATCAACTGAAAGACTACACGACTACACACTAATAGTACCACGCCATCTGGAAAGAAGTTGGTAGCGAAATGTCATAGGGCTCTTTTCTTGATGCAGTTAGCATTTTTAGCAGTATTTATGATGAAAATATTAGAGGATATAATGTAGTACATGTATAAAACTAATCTGAAAGGACATGTTGAATGATGCAATCAGGAATAAAAACAATAAACTGAAATAATGAGCAATACGAAATTTACCAAGATGAAATAGAAATAAATGTAAAGGGCTGCATTTAGTTTAGGGGAAAAAACTCAGAAATAGAGGCTGGGGAGGCAAAACGTAGTTTGAAACAGCTCAACAGCACAAGATGACAGCCAAAAACCACAGAAGTCAGCCATAACAGAGCGCATGATTTTATCCAAACAGGTCAGGTGACATGTATAGCGCATTAGGTGCAGCGCTGGTGGCCATACTTTAAGGAGCCGTAACAAACAATGTAGCTGATTTCTGAAGGACCTAGAGAGAACCTCCTTCAGAGAACAGCTCAGTTAACCAAAGGTGTTTGGCCTGGAGAAAAGTCAACAGGACAAGAGCCTTAAAACAGCTACTAGACTGTTTTGGAGAAAAAGGGAGTAGATTTATTTGTATACTATAGACTTATTGTCTTGCTATTAGTAAAAGTTAGTACAAGCTACAGGGAGACAGACTCCAGATCAATACAAAGGAAAAGCTCTATGTTCCCACTAAGGACTGGGCTACCTTTTAAACAAAGAATTTCCCAACACCAGGAATATTCGAAGAGAAGATGACTGAATATTTTGTCTTGGACTCCTGAAATAGCCCCCTAACTGGTCTCCTAACTTCTGCACTTACCTCCAAAGAGCCCATTCTGTTTACAGTCATCAGAGCAATCTCTTTAAAAAAAAAAAAGCTCTCATCAAATTGAATTACTTACTCTCTTCCTTAAAACTTTCCAAGGGTTTCTAAATACACTTAGAATAAAATTCAAACTTGAGGCTGGGCATGGGGGCTCGTGCCTGTAATCCCAGCACTTTGGGAGGCCGAGGCGGGTGGATCTCCTGAAGTCAGGAGTTCAAGACCAGCCTGGCCAACATGGTGAAACCCCGTCTGCACCAAAAAAAAAAAAAATACAAAAATTAGCCGGGTGTGGTGGTGGGCGCCTATAACCCCAGCTACTCCGGAGGCTGAGGCAAGAGAATCGCTTGAACCCCGGAGGCAAAAGTTGCAGTGAGCCGAGATAGTGCCACTGCACTCCAGCCTGGTGACAAGAGCGAAACTCCGTCTCAAAAAATAAATAAATAAATAATAAAAACTTGAGATTTTGCCCTTCCAGGCCCTAAATAATCTGGCCCTGCCTTCCTCCACTCTTCATCTCAAACCAATCTCCTCTTCACCATCTCAAGAGCTTTGCACTTCCTCATGCTCTTATTCTCACCTAAGAGGCTTTACACTTCCCAGTATCTCTGCCCCTTAATGTTCTTGCAAGACTGACTCCTTCTCACCATTCATGTTTCTGCTGCAATATTACCTTCTAAAAGCCTTCCATGACCACTCTATCTAAAATCTCACCAATCCAACACACGTAGACACCATTTCCGTTAATTTTCTTCATAGCACTTACTAGTACCAGAAATTACCCTAACGTGTACATTTGTGTATTGTCTGTCTCCCCTAGTAGCAAACTGAAAGAAGGCAGCAACTTTAATCTGTTTTGTTCATGTTTCAGTCCTCAATTCCTAAACCAGTGCCTGGCACATAGGTGTTTAACAAACACTTGACGAAGAAACAAATTAACAAACATTTGTCAGAGATGTTCTAGAAGAGATATATGTCTTTAAGGGCAGGAAGGTGGACTACCTGGTTTCTAAAATCCATTCTACACCTAAGTGACATTCTACATCTTAAGAACCTATGGTCTGTTTGGGAAGTAAGAAATCAATACAGTAATGGCAGGTGAGCAACCACTTAACCAAAAATGGACGCAGCTAGGAAAGTGTCAACAACAGAGTAATTTGTAAAGGGACAGTCAGATCTAGCGGAATTGAGGCACGCTTCCTAAGAAAGTAACCACTGTACAAATCCAGAAGAGATTGGGAAACGTAACTAGGGAGACTATTCTCTGGTGAAAGGTAAGCAAGTTTGCAGGAGGATTTGCTCTTGCAATTCTGAGGGCTCTACAAAAGCAGACTCGGTAATTATGCCTGCTCAAACGTGTGTCTTGAAGAACCGGGGTCCCCCAGGGGGTAAATCCCCTGTCTACCGCAAGGCCAGAAGGTGCCCAGTAAATTACACTCCTCCTAAGTCCCACTTACTGCTTCCCTTTAGAACGCTGCTTCACTCTACACCTTCCTGGCTGACTCCCACAAACATTCTCTGGGCGATTTCTGAACCACGTGGAGTTGAGGAATGACAGTGGGAGAAAGGGGTTAAAGTGCTGTCTCCATGGAGACCTTAGCGACCGGAAATCAGTTTCACAGCCGCCGAATCCTAGCGATACCAAAAATTGGGAATTAGTGTGGCTCGCCAGACGGCCCTAGCAAAACTGGCCGAGCCCAGCGCAAAGTCACGCGCTACCGCGGGTCTGGCAGGCAAGACACCTGGGAGCCAAACCTCGTGCCCGTCGGCGTCTGAGAAGAGTCGGAGGCGCCTGGTCAAGTCTCGGAAGCAGGTCTTCTTCTACGGCGTCTCCGAGACTCGTAACGCGGACCGCGGTAGACTACCGGGTCAGGGCGAAGAGAGGGAGGGAGGGGTAACCTGGGGGAGTCATCGCGAGAATTGACCAAACGCAGCTCCTCCAATCAGGAGTTCGACGGTGTCGTGACGTCACCGGGGTGGGCGGTAGCTATCGGGTCAGCGCAGCGCGTTCCTCGTGGTGTTGGGGCTGACCCGCCGTCTTGCGCACACGTGATTCTCTTCACATGCTTGGACGCCTGGGAAGCGCTTTTGTCCTAGTCCAGACCTTCCACCTTTCTCCCACTCTGTTGGCCCAGTGCAGAGTCTAGGAGAAATCTACGTGAAGTTTAGAGCCTGCGAGATGGAGCAGAGGGTTGGGCGGCGACTGAACGGAAGCCATGAGAAGAATTCGGACTAAAATGAGAAGTGCTGTACCAACGTGTGCCAAAGCGCATTTGTTCATTCAATGGATAGCGAGCTTTACTGTCAGAGCGTCTCCAGGCGCTAGCCTTGGAAGTTATCCCCTACTGAGGATACATATATTACGCAGCACATACAAATTGTCAGATGGTTCAGTCCTTGAAAAATACAACAACTTGATGTCACTGGGAGTTGCGAAAGGGGCCAAGATCAGGAAATAGACCTGATACTATCATCAGGAGGATTAATTTGGAAAATAGAAACATGTCAGTTCCCTAAACGTTAATGACAAGTTTTTAATAATTATTTTCCGAATTTTTTATTATTACCTTGCCTTGGTTTTCTTTGTAGCTTTACCACGTATGTATGTATCACTATCTTGTTTTGTTCAATTTTGAACTTTTTGGAATTGTGTATGTATTCTGCAGCAATTTGCTTCTTTCAGCATTGCTTTTCGTATTCACCTACATAAAAGCAGGCGGCTGTGGTGCTCTTCGCCCAGGCTGGAGTGCAGTGGTGCTATCTCGGCTCACTGCAACCTCCGCCTCCCAGGTTCAAGCGATTGTCCTGCTTCAGCCTCCTGAGTAGCTGGGATTACAGGCGCACGCCACCACGCTTGGCTAATTTTTGTACTTTTTTAGTAGAGACAGGGTTTCACCATGTTGTTCTTGCTGGTCTTGAACTCCTGACCTCGTGATCTGCCCGCCTCAGCCTCCCAAAGTGCTGGGGTTACAGACGTGAGCCACGGCGCCCGGCCCGTAATTTTGCATTGTTTAATATACTTCATTATGTATCCATCCTGCTGCCTCTTATTGTGGATTATTTGCAGTTTTTGCTCTAACATTGCTGCTGTGAACTATGTTGTGCATGTCAACTGGTGAGTGTGAGCAGACGGTAAATATGTTGTACATATCAGCTGGTGAGTGTGTGCAGATGGTTCTCTACCATAATTTTTTGTCATATTTTTGACTCGGACTGATAGTAAGAAATACATTGTAGACTTTGAAACTGTGGACATATAAGTATTCACACATAACTGAAGTAAACATTTCTTGAAATGCTACTTTACAGGAGCTGTGAGATTTTATTTCCTTTTTTTTGTAAATTATGGTAAAATACACAACAAAATTTATCATTTTAACTATTTTTAAGTTTTATGCTTTTTAAAATATGTATATTGTTTCAGACCTACTAATTATATAACTCAGTGGGTCTGAACCCTTTTTTTGTTCTGACCAAACCATTTTAAAGGGGCAGACACTGCAACTCTTCACCCTACACAGTGAGAGGTGGGCTAGGAGGCAAACATAATAAACATATGTTGAAAGGTGAAATTACTGTTAAAACTTAAGACAAATTAACAGGGTTTAACTGAGCAAGGGGAAAAATGATTCTCAAATCGGGCAGCCTCCAGAATCATAGCAGATTCAGAGAGACTCAGAGAGACTCCAGGGATGCCTCGTGATCAGAGCACGTTTATAGACAAAGAAAGGAAAGTAATGTACAAAAAACAAGTGAGGTACGGAAGCAGCTGGATGTGTTACATACAGCTTGGCGTTTGCCTTACCTGAGCACAGTTTGAACAGTCAGCATTGTATGAATAGTTGAAGTATGGCTGCTGGGATTGGCTGAGACTCAGCTATTGTTACAGAAGTACACTCCTAAATTAGGCTTTCAGCCTTGTCTACCTACTAAGTTAAGTTATGGTTCATCCATAAGGACTCAAATATGGAAGTACAGAGGCTTTCTCAGGCCATATTTAGTTCAATTTAACACCGCCATGGAAAAAATAGGGGAATGGAAAGTGAGAGTATAGGGGAGATACGTTGCAACATTAAATGGGATAGTCAGAGTAGGCCTAATTGAGTCAAGATTTGCAAGAGACATAGACACTTGGGGAAGGGGAAACCTTCCATACAGAGGGAACAGCCAGTACAAAGTTTCCAGGGCAGGACTTGCCTGTTCGGAGAATAGCAAGGAGGTAAGGGTGGCCGGAGCCAAGCAAGGTTAGTAAGGAGTGGGACAAGGGGCTTTGGATTATGTAAGGCTTTCACGTTATTTTATGGATTCTTTCACTCATCAGTGAAATGAGGAGTGATTTTGAGCAAAAGAATAATAAGATTTAATGTACATTTCAAAATAATCACTGGAGCTACTTTGTTAAGAAGAGACTGTAGGTCGGACGTGGTGGCTCACGCCTGTAATCCCAGCACTTTGAGAGGCTGAGGAGGGCGGATCACCTGAGCTCAGAAGTTCAAGACCACCCCGGGCAACATGGTGAAACCTTGTCTCTACAAAAATAAGAAAAAATTAGCTGGGCATGGTGGTGTGTGCCTGTAGTCCCAGCTACTCGGGAGGCTGAGGCACGAGAATTGCTTGAGCCCCGGGGGCAGAGGTTGCAGTGAGCTGAGATTGTGCCACTGCACTCCAGCTTTAGCTGCAGAGTGAGACTCCATCTCAAAACAGAAAACAATAAGAGACTGTAGAGCCTGCAGGAAGCCCAGTGAGGCTGTTGTGGTAAACTAGGCAGGCAGGATGCTGGTGGCACTGGCCAGGGTGGTAGCAGTGGAGAATGGGAAGTGGACAGATATTGGATGTAATCTGAAAGTAGAGCTAACGGGATTTTTTCTGAAGGATAGAATATGGGTATGAAGAAATGAAGAGTCAAAGATGAGTCCAAAGTTTCTGGCCTGAGCACCTGGAAGGATGAAGTTGCCAAAGTTTACTTGGAGCAGATTTGAATGGGTTTAAAAGAGACTGGGAAGAGAGGAATCGGCAAGATCAAGCAAAGGCAACTCCTTCTAGTCCTTCTAATACACAAGGGGTAGATAAATGGAAGGTAACACCTGGAGGAAGTATACTGCAAAAGCAATCTACAAACCCAATGCAATCTCCATTGAAATACCACCATTATTCCTCACAGAATTAGAGAAAACAATTCTAAAATTCATATGGAACCAAAAAAGAGCCCGCATAGCCAAAGCAAGACTAAGCAAAAGTAACAAATCTGGAGGCATCATACTACCTGATTTCAAACTATACTACAAGGCCATAGTCACCAAAACAGCGTAGTACATAGGCACATAGACCAGTAGAACAGAATAGAGAACCCAGAAATAAACCCAAATACGTGTGACCAACTGAACTTCGACAAAGCAAACAAAAACATAAAGTTGGGAAAGGACACCCTTTTCAACAAAAGATGCTGGGATAATTGGGTAGTCACATGTAGGAGAATGAAACTGAATCCTCATCTCTCGCCTTATACAAAAATCAACTCAAGATGGATTAAGAATTTAAATCTAAGACCTGACACTCTAAAAACTCTAGAAGATAACTTTGGAAAAACTCTTCCTGACATTGGCTTAGGCAAGGATTTCATGACCAAGAACCCCAAAACAAATACACTAAAAGCAAAGATAAATAGTTGGGACTTAATTAAACTAAAGAGCTTTTGCACGGCAAAGAACAGTCAGCAGAGTAAACAAACAACCCAGAGAGTGGGAGAATGTCTTCACAATCTATACATCTGACAAAGGACTAAATATCCAGAATCTACAACAAACTCAAACAAATCAGTAAGAAAAAAACAAACAATTCCATCAAAAAGTGAGCTAAAGATATGAATAGCTAATTCCCAAAAGAAGGGCCAGGCGCAGTGGCTCACACTTGTAATCCCAGCACTTTGGGAGGCTGACGCAGGCAGTTCACCTGAAGTCAGGAGTTTGAGACCAGCCTGACCAACATGGAGAAACCCTGTCTCTACTAAAAAATACAAAATTAGCCAGGCATGGTGGCGCATGTCTGTAATCCCAGCTACTCAGGAGGCTGAGACAGGAGAATCACTTGAACCCGGGAGGTGGAGGTTGCAGTGAGCCGAGATCTCCTCATTATGCTCCAGCTTGGGCAACAAGAGCGAAACTCCGTCAAAAGAAATTAAAAAGTAAAAAAATAAATAAGAAGAAGATACACAAATGGCCAACAAACATATGAAAAAATGCTCAACATCACTAATGATCAGGAAAATGCAAATCAAAACCACAATGCAATACCACCTTACTCCTGCAAGAACAGCCATAATCAAAAAAATCGAAGAACAGTAGATGTTGGCATGAATGTGGTGATCAGGGAACACTTCTACACTGCTGGTGGGAATGTGAACTAGTACAGCCACTATGGAAAACAGTGTAGAGATTACTTAAAAAACTGAAAATAGAACTTTTGATCCAGCAATCCCACTACTGGGTATCTACCCAGAGGAAAAGTTATTATACGAAAACGACACTTGCACACGCATGTTTATAGCAGCACAATTCACAGTTGCAAAATCTTGGAACCAATCCAAATGCCCATCAATCAACGAGTGAGTAAATAAACTGTGGTATATATACAATGGAATACTGCTTGGCCATAAAAAGGAATGAGTTAACAGCATTTGCAGTGACCTGGATGAGTTTGGA